GCACATTGATGTTGGCGCCCATGGCATGGTCGGACAGCCCGCAGACGGTCTACAGCTGGTTTAGGCTACGAGTGGGAGGAGTTTCAAGCTGTCAGACGGATGCAGATGCCTGCGGCGTAAGGAAGTACGAAAGGGCGCAGCGGCCGACTTTCGGCAACCTCGGACGAAGGATCGAAACTCCAAACCGTCTGCCTCCCCCTGAACCCTTAAACCCTTTCGGCTTTGGAGATACCTACAGCAGAAAAGGGCAAAACGGCTCCAGGCCGCCCCACCTGTTCGGCACTAGCCGGTCCATGAAGTCTACCGCGCCAGGCCCAGAGACGTGGTACTTCGCGAACGGCCAGTAGCCTAGGATGGGATCTCAAGCATGTGATTTGCACATTGTACATGGTCCTTGCCTCAATGATTAGAACCTGGTCTTGGGGCATATTCTTGTATGAACATGGTATGGAACGCCAAGGAATTGTTTCGGTGATTCTTCAGGCTTCTCTAGAACCATAGGGTTCTGCCTTCTTAGCTGCTTGCAGGCCAGATGATGCCACATGACTGGAATAGGGTTGATAATATGGTAGGTTAGCCCCCTCCTGCACAGCATTGGTTGGACACGGAGCATTCCTGCTAATAAACCGCTGCATTCTGCTATGATACGGAGATCAGATGGGATCCTCATACAAGAACATATATGTTCGAACATGTTTAAGCGGAATGCCTTGGAGATCTATCTCTCGAGGACAGGCTTCGGGTTATGGCTCCAACCATTAAGGCATCAAACTTAGTCTTCCACCCATGAACCATGCTGATGCCTAACGCTCATAGTTGTGGCTGCGGTGGCGGTGACAAACCGCCTTCGTTCAGGAGATCAGAGAGACTTCGGTCTCCAATGTTTCACAACATGTCCAGTACTATCGCTAGTATGATAGAAAAAAGTGCAGCTTCCCGACACCCCAAGCACCAACCACGCTAAGGAAAGCAGCAAATGCCACCGAAGCCTGCCATCTCGCGGCACTCCTTCTCGACCAATTCCTCGCACAAGCAAAGCGAGGACAGGGATTCCTCTAATTGTACTTGCTGAGGCATGCTGAGTATGTCGGCTGAGGTTTAAATATTACGCTTACTCCTTATAAATGGGGTCTCTATGTTCGGGATCCCTAATTTTCTGAATCTCCCGGATGGGCACTGTTCACGATTGGATCGAGGCGAACCCGTGCTACGCAACCAGCCCGTAAATGTGAAGCCACAGTAGGCCAGAAAAAAGTTCAGAAGCTCCTACCAGTAGCCTCTGCACCTACCATGAAGCCTCTCAAGCCTTCAACTCTCACAACACAGAATCACAGCAAAACCCAGCATAACCGATCAAAAACGCTCGGAGGAAGGCCCCCGAGAGGTCCTTGTAGGGCGGCCGTCGAAAGGAGCCCCGCGCATTGCCATGCTGCTCGCCACCAGAGCTTGCGTCGAAATAGTTCGCGCACTCCCATCCTGCGGGCTGAAATTCAAAAGGGCCCAGGCCCTGGCCCCCGAGGGTTTTGGGCAATTACTGCATGTGGTGATTTGGGTGGCTTCTGGGTTTCGCGTGCAGGGATACAAGGCTCTCTCCAAGGCATGCTGCCTGCAATGGCATCTACGGAAGCAGGAGCTTACAGCTGTCGAGGTTTCCTTACAACATGTTGCAACTTTGCGCAGCTGGGTGGCAAGCCCTCCAACCAGCGAGCTGCAGAGGTGAGAAAACATCTCAACCGCTGTAAGGCTGGGACGTCCCTGCTCTTAAAATCGACATCTACTGAGCCACGAAGCCCTGCAGCAAGCCCAGAAGAACTCAAAGACTTCCGGTCCGTTGTGGAAGCCGAACTGGCAGCCCTCGGACTTCAGCACGTCCTTGAGCCGCGAGCTTCGTATTTGGCCGGGGAGGGCGCGGCGAAGCTTTGGAGAGAATTTCAGATTTATGCTGACGCCTGCATGACCCTGGATACATCTGCTGATAGTGTAGCTCCAAAGACCGCAAGGAATCTTTGCAATACTCTCGGAGTCCCTGCGGCACTTCGCGCGGAAATATCTCAGGTTGAGCAAAGTCACGTAGATCTCACGATTCGGAATCGGCTCCACAGGCCTTGGTGAGAGCAATCCCCACAAAGCTCTCACGCTGCAAGGTTTCTCCTTGGGCAATGGCCTGGCTCCGAGCAAATTCTCGTTCGGGAAGTGCACATGGTTGTTCATGCCATAGGTCTCTCGAACCTCCAGGCGAAAGGCACCGTTACGGTCGACATCGCTTGAAAGCTCCACGGTTATGAACAAGTTGCGACTAACGGCCGTTCTGGGGCCGAGGGATTGAAATAAGACTCTGCGGAGTGCGGCTTTCCAGGGAGGCTTGCGAGTTGAAGAATGGCCAGCTAGCATCCGTGTGGCAAGGCGCAACCAGCAAACTGAGGATTGTCCCAGGAAGAGGAGGGGTGAATTGCGACCGGCGTGATACCGAATAGTTTAGGTATGTTTGTACTAGTTTTGCAAAAACCCAACGCCATACATCCCCCTCAATATTCATGCGTGCACATACAAACATACATACAGACGGACATACATAAGCACAGACTAGTATATCTGGATACATGTGTAATATGTACGTGTCGGAAAGTGTATGTACATTAAAAATTATAACTGCATCTCCTTGCCTCCATGTGTATTGACATTACCACTTTGACGAACATTTCTCTCCGGAATCTCTCGAGAATCACAAGACTTGGCTACAATTCGCCCAGCCAGCACCTTCGTGGCCACCCAGTCTTTCGTGGCCCATGCACCATACCTGTCACCACAGATGCTACAAAATCGCCTAATTGAAGATAAACTGTTAGAGCACCGATATAATTAAGCATCGTCGCCACGGTCGCAGCAGCTGCCAGCAAGTCACGACTATGCTCATGCTCAGTATGCACGTGAAAAGCCTCATCATCCGTCAGTTATGCAGAAATCAGGCCTCGCAGGGTCGGCCTCCTTCAGTTCCTGTGGGTACACAAAAGGGAAAGTCAGGATAAGTCAAGTTCGTTTGGGGGCAGAAGAAGTTATGGACACTTAGCTCAGGAGTTTGGCGCGAGCTGCAGTTTGTGGGTTTCATGTGTGTGCCCCGGTTGTACTACAAGCGTGATTATCTTTAGGGGAGAGTGTGAAGCACTCTCATGTTTCATGGCGCTTGGCCTGGCAACTGGAGAAGTGAAACCATTCGAGTTGCATGTCTTGCATAATTCGGTCTGGCAAACGAAGTGATATTTCCGAACAAAGAGTCCTAAGCAACTGAACCTACACATGGGACACAGGACGGGACGCAGGGGACTCTAGGCAGCCAGGGCTCGTAGGGCGGCTCCCCGTTTGCAATCCACTCCGACAGGTAGCGGCTTAGGCCTGCGCTGTGCGCAATGCCGTAGGACCTGCAAGATCTCACGTTCAAGGGCTTCGAAATCTCGACATTGAAGCCGCATGGAAGTTGCATCCCGTTGGACGACTCTGCTTGGAAAGCCAGGCATTGAAAACCTGTAACAGTGCGAAAACACGTGTGCGTGTGTGTGTGTGTGTATGTATGTATGTGTATATATATATATATGTATATATTTATGTATATGTATGTATACCTATATGTATGTATATATATATATATATATATGTATATATATATATATATATGTATGTATGTATGTATGTATGTATATATGTATATACCCACCAGAATGTGCATATACAACCCAGATCAATCAGTGCGTATATGTGTACATATGTATGTATGTATGCATGCAAGTACACAGGTGCGTACGTATGCATGTTCACGTAAGTGTATGTGCATGTGAAAATCTATAATATGCATGTGCGGATGTACATGTATGCGTGTGTGTATGTGCCCAGCATTACCAGCACGCGTTTCCCAAGCTCCGGGCTCTGCACATGCCAGCCAAAAGTTGGGCGCCACGTCCCACTCCGGCGCAGGGCCGACAAGGTGGTTTCCATCCGCAGGCCACATCGTGGGCCCGTTCAGCACGGTCTTCATGCCTACCGTCTCGAAATGAAGCTGTTGCACCGTCATTCGCATGAGTGCTGGGGTGGGGAGGCATCGAGACTGGGTGCGGCTGCATGTCTTACCCCGGCCTACTTCCCCGAATTGTGGCAGGATCTCCATCGCCCGCTCCAGGTGTGGCATCAGGCGCTCCACATCGCCCTCGAAGAGGAAATTGGAGTACCTCAGAGCAGCAGTGTAGACCCTGAAAGTCATCGCGGCCACCATTGCAGAAACTGAGTCTGCGTTGCTGTAGTTGTTGTTGACCATACATGTGTCTGTATGTGTACATACGTGTGTATGTGTGCATAATCACATAAAACTGAACGCAGAGCTGTAAGTACACAAACGACACATGTACATTTATACATTCATGAACGCGCATATGGAACATCACAGACATATAGACAGATAACGAACACAATAAACAAGACAACAAATGGATGAACAAAAAGGGATTTCAAACAGCAAGTATCAAATAAATAGAAAGAAACATTGAAAGTTATAAACAAACAATATCTGCACATCCTCTCCTTCCCCCCTTCTGCCCTTAGTCCCCGGCTCGTTGGGCATGCCTGTCTGCCGCCACTCCGCCGGGGCGAGCTGCATGGCCTCCGAGTACTCGTAGGGACCCAGCCTCGGCGCGGAAATAAACCCTACTTGGAGGACCATGGGACTTAGTAAGGGTCCCTTTAAGGGATCTATAGGGTTCCTTAAAGGGATCTGTAAGGGTTTAGGGTTTAGGGTCTACTTGGAGGATCATGGGACTTAGTAAGTAGGGTTATAAGTAAGGTAGCTATAGTTATATCTACTTATAACCTTTATTAAGGTACGTATAACCCTACTTACTAAGTCCCATGATCCTTTAAGTACCGCAAGTAGGCAAACAGACTGGGAATGTTGTGACAGAGTGTTGCATGATGGCAGTAACGGTAGCTAGTATAAAAATCCAAACAAGACGCAGCAGCACAAGTTTTAGTAGCCAACGTCGTTGGAAGTGGTGGTAGAATTATTATTGTCATTAGTATTGCTATTAGTATCGGAAGAAATAACGTTGTAGGAGTGTTGGTCGTCGTCGCCGTAGCGGTGGCGGTGGCTCTGGTAGTGGCATTGGTACTGGCAGTGGTCGTGGTTGTGATTGTGGTAGTAATTAGTAGTCGAAGCGGCAGTGACAGTGGTAGAGCAGCAGCAGTGATCGTCGTCGATGTGGTCGTCGTAGTAGTTTTGGTAGGGGTACAGCAGCTGCAGTTGCACTTGTTGCTGCCGTTGTGATCCTTGCTGCTGCTGTGGCAAGACAGTAGTACGAATAATAGCCCATCTTGACTGACAAGGCAAGACAGGGGGCCAACACGCAGCACGGTGTCCAAAAGACCCGTTATTTCGTCAAGACGGCATAGATCCAGTAACTCAAACCAGTAAGCAAAGTGGATACCAATACAAAATGTTGACAACAATAATCTCAAAATACACGAATGTCACTACCTCACCTCCTGACCTGAAATAATATAGCATGAATGGGCGAATGCTTCCGGACGTAAGCTGAAGGTAAGGTTCAAAGCCTGTCAGAAAATGATTTCGGCATCTCATCTAAATTTAGACTACCTGTGTACCCTCACCACAACAACTGGCTGAAAGCTCCGGATTTCATGGAATACCTGCTTCCGACCGAAATATCCTTGAGGATGATCTCCGGAGTCAGGGTATACTTAAGGTTTGTCTTCCAAGTTGCAGGATCCCATCGCGTTCGTCACGCACGTAGAAGGAGCCCTTCAAGTCCCGGAGCACTGGCAGCTGGTGGCCGTGCTTGTCGTGATACTCCTGGTGCACAGGTATAGCATAAGGCTACAATTGCATACGACAAAAGTATAATATACATACCTGCATGCATACATGCATACTTGCCGACATATGCATGTACATACCCCTGCATACTACCTACCTGCCTACATAGTTACATACATACATACATACATACATACATAGATACGTACATCCAGACTGACAGGCATAAACACGCATGTGTGCCTGGGCCTGTCGCACGTGCGAATTCAACCTCTATGTTGCCTATCTGCAGGTTCGCTTGTAACTATTAGGTGCGTCCTGAACAGGATGGTAGGACTAGAGCCTAAGGCGGCAATGCCCTCTTTTCGCAAATCTGGTGTCGTGGAAAGAGACACAACATCACATCACGGTCCTTCACCTCCGGGATGGCCTCCGTGATGCAGTACCTCGCCCCAGGCCATTCGAGCTTAGCTACATATTGAAAAATCATGCGGCAGTGATCCTAGAGAGCCAGGTCTTTGAACAATCCAGGTGACATGAGTGGATGTTTAATATATTTGGTCCGTCCAAGCCATCTGTCTCCAGTCTACGAAGGCATGGCTCGTCTGCACGGTAGATCAGCCAAGAATAAGGGAGCTCTCCCCTGGTTCCTAAGAAGCGGCTTCGGTCGGGAGCGAGGGGGGGCCTTGAGGATAAGATGATCTTAGCATTCGTTTTTTGCAACGCAACCCGCTTCCCTGAGCACCATGATGCCAAGTCCTGACGACTGCTGCGCAGTCCAGCGTGTCAGGTTTCCGAAAGATGTTTCGCGAAGTCACAGCCGCAGGAAAAGCCCCAAAAGATCGTAGCGTCGCTGACCCCGTAAGTCCCAATGGTTGCTTTGTGGGCTCACTGATGCTGCAACACCACCGACGGCACGCGGACGCCAGCCATGGCACCAACTTTGTCGCCTAAGTTAGCCGTGCGCAGGTTCAGGGACTGCCTGAAGGGTGTACTTTGATATCCTGGCTCCAGTGCCCCATGCACGAGCCGAAGCGGCCTTGCTCACAACTTGTCAGAAGAAACGTCATAACAGATCTGTGACTTGGCCGAGAACCAGGCGGCCTCTGCCCTAGACCCTCTGAGCCTCAGCCTTCGAAGACAAGCGGCACCAGAGCCCGGCTGCATTGATCACGAAGTCTGCTACCGTCCGCTTTTCTTCACCTCTCTCACCAGAGCTTCGGAATAAAACCGAGGTATTTGGGGGATTCGGCTCCACGCTCCGTAAGCACAGCAGACCGTACGAGGCGACCGAACTTCAAGGTGATGGGACTTGGAGGCCATGACTGTCAAAACAAGGATCTATCTCTGTGGTATCGGGCTTTGACCTGCTTGAAGCTAGACGTCAGCTGACTCCCGCAACCCACAAGATCCGTAGCAGGCTGCAAAGGACGTCTTGGGAATTTGTCCGGCTCTTTGCCATATTCTCAACCCTAAACCCTAAACCCCTAAACCCTAAACCCCTAAACCTCTAAACCCTAAACCCCTAAACCCCTAAACCTCTAAACCATAAACCCCTAAACGCCCAAACCCTAAACCCTGAGACCAATCCCCTGCCTGCAGCTGTGCGTGTAATGACCTCCCACTGCTTGCTGGGGAGCAGGTTGAGGGCCACCACCTTTCAAGGCGAGGAAGTCTCTCGTGACGGGTTCAGCCGGCTCCTTGAACTGAGGGTTGTCGGATGCAAGATGACCAACGCATATCTGTACATCTTTGTATATATATATATATACATACATATATATATATATATACATACATATATATATATATCTATAAGTGCATGCAATCAGTATATATATATATATACATATATACATATATACATATATATATATATATATATATATCGCTTTATGCTATTACTCTTGTTTGTGTTTATAATTGTGGTACCTAATAAAAGCACATCCGATAATTCCAATACCTTTCCAATACTTATAACATATGTGTATACATAATGGCTACACATATACTACAGAATAACTGCAGCTGTGGCGGGTGTCCAGGACAGATCGCCGCAGCAGCTGATGCGGCAATTGCTAACCGCTAACAATGCACTTGACGAATGCTCGAAGTTTTTGACCCATTATGCGTTTCAGGTAGAGGGTTTAAGGTTTAGGGCACATCATTTTTTGAACATTGTGCCACGCGATATGACGAGTGGCAAATGCCAGCGATGACCACGACCTGATGATTCCTGATGCTGTTGGTGATGGTGGCAATGGTGACTCCGACTGCAATGACTGCTCGCTGCTCGATCATTTCAGAGTCTTGCATGGGTCGCACTTCTTGTTCTTCTTTGTGTAAGGCTCTGAACAGTTGCCAATGGTCGGATTCGCACTCAGTTGGTGCCCCTGTCTGATCGAAGGTGGTGGTGCCTCCGTTTTCTGCTCGATGACGCCGCCGAGGCCTCTCGCAAGATGTGAAGGTGCAGAGCATCTAACATTTGACTTGCACGGCTTCCACGTATGGGATCAAGAGGTGGATAATAAGAGCTGTGAGCAACTCTTCTGGCTCAAGTGTGATCACCGTGCACAGCTCGCGCAAGACTTGCGAACACATCCGTGATGTGCTGCAGTGCTGCAGCAACTACTAGGTAGCTACTACCACCTTGCACGAATAAAACAAACCTCGTAACCTTCGCTCCAACTGCTGATGTATGCTGCTACCCTCAAAGACTCAAAAACTACGCTGACACTTGGCTGGCCTTTAGCTCGGTCCGCAAAGGCATTTGTGACACTGCTTGGGTCGATGTGACCATCGCCCTCTGTCAAAATGCCAGCGTAGATCCCGCTGTCGTCTAGGTTCACCAGAGGATGCTTCTCCTGCAGCGCGTTGGAAGATCTGAAAATCCAGACATCGGTGCCACGCAAGGCCCTAAACCCCAAACCCCAACCCGATCCTTGATCTCATCTGGGGAGATCATGTGGTGTTCAGCACAGCCGAAAAGAGACGAGAAGATCTTGGCTTTGCCGACTTGATATCTGGCCTGGTGCAATAGCGATCGATCTGCAAGCACGAAGCATCCCTTACAAGGTCTCTGACAAGCCCAAGAACAGCGACCTGACGCGACCCATGCGCCGGCTGATGTGCAGACAAGCGAGCCTCATCGATGTACGACTTCCTGCAGGTATCTCTCATTGCATTCCAGACGCGGAAAGGATTCAATGCGCAAAGCTGAAAAGACATGCCTGACGGGTCCGCATAATGTAATCTAGTATTCAATCTGTTGCATCATACTGCGAGATAGGATAAGAGAAAATAATACATGATAAGAAAAGACACGACGCGACAATACACTACAAGATGACACAGTACTGCTTTTTTATAGTACTAGGTAGGATGATGCAACAAAATACTCTGAAATACACTAGTTCAGAATGAATATGTTGTCGTATAATGTAACAGTAATAGGATTCAAAACAATATGGTACAAAGAACATAATGTTTTGCAAGGTAATGTAACGTAAAGCAAAGTAATATAATCAAAGGTCATTGTAATGTCATATAAATTACAACCTAATGTGAAACGATGTGCTGTAGTCTAATATCATTCCATATGACATAATACAGCACAGGGCAACATAAACCATTCATGTAGTTTGGCACAATACAACATAATGTTGTGTGCTATATGTGTTATGATAGAACAGAAAGGAAGACAAGAGAAGAATAGACTACAATAGAACAGAATATACCGTAATCGACTGTAGCAGGGCGCAGTGGGAGAAAACTACAATATAGCATGATACGACATTACACATAGTATACACTAACTTCTCAGGCCCCTCAATGATTCGTCACATAGAGCCTTTGCAGCCCATACATGCCCAAGCCCTGTGTTAGTTCTTCTTCTGTTGACGAGGAGACTTAAAGGAAGGACCCTAATTTTAAGAATCTCCCAACTACGCCAAGAAGCTCGTTGGGGATCAGTCGGATCGAGCCCGGCGTGTGAAAGCTGAGCGGGGTTCCTGCCGGTGCGTTTCACTGTTCGAGTTCACAACTGAAACACTCATGGATGTCCATGTAATCTACTTGTACATCCACGTATGTATATATATATATATATATATGCATGCCTCTATATATATATATATATATGTATACATTCGTATACATATATATATATATATATATACACACACATGTGTGTGTGCAGCTCTCTCTCTCTCTCTCTCTCCCTCCCTCGCGCTCTCTCTCTCCAGCTCTCTCTCGGTGCACGTGTCGCGTGCACATACCTCATACCTTCAGTTTATATAGACATGCCTATACATAAACATGTGTATATGTAATGCGTATGGGCAACGTGTGCCCCTGTGTTTCCGTCTGTGTGCCCTTGGGCATAGAGCCCTTGGTTAGGCTAGATTGGACTGGAGTAGATTGGAATAGACTGGACTGAAATTAGAGCAGGCTAAAGTTCGATTAGAACTGGCGAGATTTTCACAGACTGGGTTCACAGAAGATAAATGTGCAGATTATTAGATGGTTAGTCAGACAGATACATAATCAACAAGTAGGCAGATAAGATGACGGGCAAATAGACAGAGAACCGACAGGCGGACTGACTGACAGATGAATAGACAGATGGATAGACCGATATGTACATGTGTAGCTCTCTCGACACGTACAGAAACACACCTGCACATGTATGCATACCTGTATATGTAGAGAGAGGTATGTACACAAACCTGTTTACATACACACATAGTTGTATATAATATAATATATGTATATAAATATGTATACATATATCTGTATATGCATACAGTTACAGTTACACATACATACATACATACATACATACGTACATACATACCTACATGTATCTTTGTGCCTGTGTAAGACTGTCTGTACATATATGTATATATATATATATATGTATATGTATATATATATACTTTGCGGTACATACACGTGTAGCTTTCTTTACATAAGAACATACATATACGTATGTATGCATACATGCGTATCAAAATCTTGATGTATATGTATGGTATATATATATATATGTGTATATATATATATATATATGTATACGCATATATGTATCCACAGACATATGAAGGCATTGAGCGACGTGCTCTCTTCGCGGTAAGACCAAGACGCCCGCCTTCGTTTTGCCACTGCGTAAAGAGGTTCACACCCTCATCGTGCCACAGGCGGAAGTTGTTGCCGCCATGGAAACGGGTCACCAGACCCGCTGCATGCCAGGTGGCTCCACAGGTTAGCTCGCCCTGGCAATGCTCAACGTCAACCCTACAATCGTCAACGAAGTTGCCTGAACTGCAGCTTCAATCTCGCACCTTTGTGCACAAAGCAGAGTCTAGATGATAGTTGTCGGTATGCCGTCTTCAAATAGAGGTGAATCCAAACAATAAACATGGGTGTTGCCACAATACTTATACGGACATCGAACCGATGTCGTCACCGAACCGCATCCCGACCGCAGAAAACGACATCGCATAAATCGACACCGCATGACACCGCATCGCAGTATCGGGGTTCGATGACGATACAAGCAGCAAGCCACCAAACGCAAGCCACCAGCCACCGTGGGTGTGGCTGGAGGGGGTAATACCTAACAATACTGTTCCGCAAACACTTACTAACGACCGCAAACCGATCGACCCGAGGTATTACAACCATGATGAAGTTAGCCCCGTTCACACGTTTGCCTGCTGTGCTTTGGCTGCTCTTTCGACCCCCGCACCTTTTCAAAAAGGACGCACTTGACGCCCCGCTGGGCGAGGTTGTAGAGCATGGCGCATCCAGTGACTCCTCCCCCGACAATGACACCTCTGCAGGTCAAGCGATCTCATGATTTTCGTGAGTTGAAGCTCCGAGAGTGAGTGGTATAGTAATTATAGTACAGTATAGCAAAGTCTACCGTATAATCTAGTATGGTTCACCATACTCTACCATAGTATACTACAGTTTTCTACAATCGAGGGATGTGCGACAGTCAAAAGTTCCAAGCTCAGAGGGCCACCTGAAACGCCGCGCACACTGCCGGCGGCATGGCGTTGCCACACTCGCCTGGCAGCAGGACCTCAGAAGGCTGCTGATGAATATAGGGGCATTAATAATTGCCCTATACTATTTTTTTTTTTTTTTTGGGGGGGGGGGTCCTTAATACAATTATAAAGAAAAGGGCGCCAAACTTTTATTCTAACTATTAAGGCCCTATGTTACACATGGGCTCGGGCACTCCACGTGTCGGTGAACTGCAGGAACTCTGCTGAGAGAGCCAATAACCCCAAACCCTAATGTAGGGGCCTTAATGATGTCAACAGGGTTTTGGGGCCCATTTTATTCTGATTATAAGGAGCCCCCCAAAATAAAATAGTATAGGAAATTATTAAGGCGGCCCCAAACCCCAAACCGGGCTGCCACCAGGGTGCCAATCCCTAGACCCTTCAAAAGGAGCTCCATTATAGAACCCCATGTATCCTTGAAACCCCCAAAGCATCCAAAAACCCCTAAAGCCACCAAGGTGCCAGCAGCTTGCCACATGATCAGAGGAAGACGGGGGAACTGTGGCACAGCTGGGCCCGCTCGAGAGTCAGCTTGAGCCCGAAGTCCAAAACAGAGCTGGGATAATGTAGGGGCCGTAAATAAATAGAATAGGGATTCTTTAAAGGGTAATATAAGGGATCTATGTAAGGGCGTTAATAATTAGAACAGGGCTTTGGGGTATGTCATACTAAAATCATAATAATCAACCCGTTATTAAGGCCTATATATTCGGGGTGAAAGGATTGTAGGGCTGGATTGAGGAACTGTGTGATTCAGGAGATGAACCTGATGGTGATCCTGACGATAATGATCACGATTGTCATGACAGGCTGGTTATTGAGGATGACGGTGACGTTGGGAATTCTGCCCAAAGTCACGAAAAGAAACTTTGGGCCTTGCCATCGCTGCCTGCTGCAGAAATGATGTTGCGACTACCAGAGGGGCCCTCTCCGAGGCGTCAGCATCGCCGGGAAGATCGATTATGCTATGGTATTAAATGCGGCCGGGGGATGTGAACGTCAAGGCAAGTTGCCCTGTCAGAAGCCAGAACTGCCACGTAAAGGATGATGAAACAGTATGGTCCGGGTCCATCATGTTCTGAAACTCCCGAAACCTGAACCCTAAACCCCAAAACCCTAAACCCCAAACCCTGAACCTGAACCCTAAACCACAAACCCCTACAACCTAGACCCTAAGCCGCAGACACTGAACAACTCCTAAAAAACACACTCAGATTGACCCTCGACCCCTAAACCCTAAACCCCCAACCCCTAAACCCCCAAACCCTAAACTCCTAACCCCAGGAGCTTCGGCAGAATTTCTCCGAGGGCGCTGGGCTCGTGTTCCGCTCCGAACTTTGGGAGCGATCCGCCCCTGACCACCTGCAAGAGACCACTCAGGAGGATAATAACGCCGTATTTAAGAAGTTTATAGGGTTTTAAAGAGCATAGAAGCGCTGTATTTAGGAAGTTTGGGGCTTAAGGAGGACATAGCGCCGTATTTGGGAAGATTGGGGGTTAGTTAATGTCTATCAAAGTCTGGGCTTGTTTTGTTTGAATGCCATATGAGTTTTCCGAAGATTAGGGGTGCCTTTAAAGGGATCCTTTAAGGGTTCCTATACAGACATCTATAAGGTTCTGTAAAGGGTTTAAAAGGGTTTAGAGTTTCCGAAGATTAGGGGTACCTTACTTTGGGGTCCTTCTAATAAGGATCCTACATTATTTAGGGAGCCATATCAGCGTCGCCTATTTTCGGAAAACCCCATACCATGCCCGCCCAGGAACTTGCAGCAAGCGATGGCTGACCCTACACCTCACATCCTACACCCCCCCCTCCCTACACTTTCACCCCACTTCTCAACCCTCCTAAGTTGTGATTTTGTTTTGTGTTTTGGGGTTGGATGTAGTGTTGGGAGTTGCTTGGTGTTTTGGATTGCATTTGGGATTTCGGCGTGGGATTGGAGAGTTGCTTGTGTAGTGTGGTTTTGGAAGGGTTGATTTAGTAGGCGGGTTGAGAAATGGTGTGAAAGTGTAGGGGAGGTGTGCAGGATGTGTGGTTTTGGGGTTGGGTGGAAAAGTCTGAGTTCTTGTTGAGGAAATTAATTTAAGTTACCAGTACTAGGGACCTATAGTAAATATTCCGGTTGCTTTATTACGGTAACTTAGATTAAAATCTTAACAAGAACTCAGAATTTTGCCTAGCGGGTTCACTTTCGGGGGTGGTTTTTCCTGTTGTTTATGTGCCTTTGTATGCCCTTCTCCTTCGCACGGCCCTTCCGGCACATGGAAAACACCGCCCAGCGCGAGGTTTTCGCCTTGTTACATGTGTTCCGCTCTTGGTAGCCGAGTGTTTTGTCTGATTCGCGCTGTCTTTGTTTTTTGCACCAAAAACGACGTCGTTTTTGGTAGTACATTTTCGGTTGCGAATTCGTCGGAACATCGAAAAACGTAGCCTGCGTGCTGTATTCCTGACTTTCTGCAGGCATGTTTTTGGGATGTCTGCCGCTTTGCGTTTTCTGCGTTTTATGCGTCGTTGTTGCTTTCGGTCATGCGCTCTGCTTGCTCTTTGGGGGGGGGGTTGGGGGGGTGGGGGGGTGGGCGGGGGGGGAGAAATGACGTTCTGTTCAAGCGAACACAAATCAAGCTGCGAAGTTCCCTGTGCAAGCGTGCTACTGACAGGAAACAGAACAACGAAGAAACATGGGAACCCCGACTCACACGAGATACGCGAACACAAATCAAGCTCCAAACTTCCCTGAACTTTTCTGCGTTGTTTGCGTCGATTTTGTTTTCGGTCATGTGCTCTGCTTGCTCTTTGGGTGGGGTGGGGGTGGGGGGGGGTGGGGGGGTGGGGGTGGGGGGGTGGGGGGGGTGGGGGGTGGGGGGGTGGGGGGGGAGTAATGACGTTCTGTTCAAGCGAACACAAATCAAGCTGCGAAGTTCCCTGTGCAAGCGTGCTACTGACAGGAAACAGAACAACGAAGAAACATGGGAACCCCGACTCACACGAGATACGCGAACACAAATCAAGCTCCAAACTTCCCTGAACTTTTCTGCGTTGTTTGCGTCGATTTTGTTTTCGGTCATGTGCTCTGCTTGCTCTTTGGGTGGGGTGGGGGTGGGGGGGGGGGGTGGGGGGTGGGGGGTTGGGGGGTGGGGGGGTGGGGGGGGGGAGGGAGTAATGACGTTCTGTTCAAGCGAACACAAATCAAGCTGCGAAGTTCCCTACGCACAGCCAAGGGTTTGGCATGTTGTTCTACAGCTTGAACTCCAAATAACTGCATTACATCAGCATCGTCATCATCACTGCCGGCATCACCATCATCATCATCATCACCATCACCATCATCATCATCACCACCATCATCATCATCATCATCATCATTACACACCACGTGCATTACATACAACTCAGTAATAGCAATCCCCAGAACAACCAGTTACTATCACTACACACGAAACAAGTTCACGATACATGCTATCCCAAACCCCTGCCCATAAAAGTTTTTTCCCAGTACGTAAAAACACCGAACCCCGAAAAAAACGATACAAAACCACCCCCGAAAGTGAACCCGCAGGGGAATTTTGGGTTTAAGCTTCAGGGTTGGTTTGCTCGTTTGTTCAACTGCCTCAGGCCTCCTGCGCTCAACGGAAGCCACACCGTGCAAGGATGGGACTTTAGGGTTTGAGGGTATTAAGCGGAGCAGTGTTTCCAGGGCTTGGGGCTTTCAGGGTTGAGGGTGGCGATGTCCTGTTGGGCCAGAGCGGATCAGGCTTGTGCACTGGTCTTCATGGATTAGAACCTCGGCAGTACAGGTTGTAGCTGTTGGTGTCTCTGACCTTTCACCCCTTCCCTTCAACCCGGAATCAAACAGGTCGAAACCCCCAATCCAAAAAACACGAAATCCCGAAACCCTAAACCAATAATCCTAAAGACTGTAAAACCCTCATGTAACCTTCTATAGTAACCATTCATAGAAACCTTTAAAAAAAACCCTGAACGACCACTTTCCTGCGCCTCTCTTGCAGCGTCTCCGCGGCGGCGCAGGAGCCTAGCAAGCCGTCGGCGGCGGCCTTGCTTACCCTGCTAGTAACCCATAATACACTATACTACACTATACTAGAATATACTGTGATATACTATACTATAATATGCTATGATATACTATACTATGCTATGATATACTATAGAGCTCAGACTGGGGAAGCTGAGGAAGCGTCAGAGCTTAGGACTTAGGCAGCTCCTCTTGGCAAGCGAGAAGGATCTGTAGCTGTGTTTCGGCAGCAGTGAGCCTGAAGAGCATTAAGTCCAAAGAACCGAAGTTCCATCCATACTGTAGCATGAGTCTCTGCAGCTAAGCGGCCGGAACAGTACCGCGAACCGTAGCACTCCTCATCATAAGAGCCCCGGAAGCCGAACCTCTAACCCCGTTAATCATCTGTCCATCTTATTCAGTCCTCAACCCTCATCCTGAAGCATAAAGATCACTGGCCCCAAATCCACCAAATCCTCCCATAATGTACTATACTGTAACATACTATGACATACTATACTATACTATGTAATATACTGTGATATAGTATAATGTAGAATAATATACTAATATACCACAGATAACTGCTTTCCAGCAGAAGCCCAGGGAGCCGCGCCTGAAGCGTCAAACCGGCTTCTCGGAGGCGGGCCTCGTCTGTGGGACCCCGGGGAAGTCCTTATAATATCTTATAATAAGGATCCTACTAATTAGGGTACTAAATCATTATAATATCTTATAATAAGGATCCTACTAATTAGGGTACTAAATCATTATAACATCTTATAATAAGGATCCTACTAATTAGGGTACTAAATCATTATAATATCTTATAATAAGGATCCTACTAATTAGGGTACTAAATCATTATAATATCTTATAATAAGGATCCTACTAATTAGGGTACTAAATCATTATAATATCTTATAATAAGGATCCTACTAATTAGGGTACTAAATCATTATAATATCTTATAATAAGGATCCTACTAATTAGGGTACTAAATCATTATAATATCTTATAATAAGGATCCTACTAATTAGGGTACTAAATCATTATAATATCTTATAATAAGGATCCTACTAATTAGGGTACTAAATCATTATAATATCTTATAATAAGGATCCTACTAATTAGGGTACTAAATCATTATAATATCTTATGATAAGGATCCTACTAATTAGGGTACTAAATCATTATAATATCTTATAATAAGGATCCTACTAATTAGGGTACTAAATCATTATAATATCTTATAATAAGGATCCTACTAATTAGGGTACTAAATCATTATAATATCTTATAATAAGGATCCTACTAATTAGGGTACTAAATCATTATAATATCTTATAATAAGGATCCTACTAATTAGGGTACTAAATCATTATAATATCTTATAATAAGGATCCTACTAATTAGGGTACTAAATCATTATAATATCTTATAATAAGGATCCTACTAATTAGGGTACTAAATCATTATAATATCTTATAATAAGGATCCTCCTAATTAGGGTACTAAATCATTATAATATCTTATAATAAGGATCCTACTAATTAGGGTACTAAATCATTATAATATCTTATAATAAGGATCCTACTAATTAGGGTACTAAATCATTATAATATCTTATAATAAGGATCCTACTAATTAGGGTACTAAATCATTTTAGTATCTTATTATAATGAGGATCCTACGAATTAGGGTACTAAATTACGGTCCCCGACTTAGGGGGAAAAGGGGAAGTGGATCTCAGAACTCGGTTTAGGGTTTAGGGGATTAGGGTTTAGGGTTTAGCGATGTTTAGGGCTACTCAAAACATGCGAAGTGGCTGCAGGCATGGACTATGACGACAGCCGTGCTGCTTACGATGATGATGCAGCAGCAGTAAACGACGATGATGGAGCGGGAATGCTCCGGAGAGATCGAACTGCTGCAGGTTGGAATGACTATTCTTCCCATTCGCTATTCTGCCGATAACCCTTGTCCCACCGACTCCTAAAAGTCATGTCTGTAGCCCCTGAATCATCACAGCTGTTTTTTGCTGCTTGGGCTGCAGGGGCTTTGGAGGGATAAGTTTAAGGCCTGCCCCAGCTGCTTCAGGCTTCCGGGCGGGGTGTGACGAGTGCTGTTTAGGGCTGCAGGAAAGCAGGCCTTTCCCGCATTTCACCATCCTTGTAAAACAACAGCTGTTGTGACTGGGTCGCTGACAAGCTCTTGCCGAGTTTGTCGCAGCGCCTACCACCAGAGTGGCAGACGTCGTAAGTAGCAACACAGATGAGCTTTCAAGGTCAGAAAGAGTCAGCCCCTCAGAAACTTCACACACTGGACCACCTAAGCAAGCCTCACTCCTCCAACTGTTGACCGATTTTAGCCCTACCTCCCCTAACTATGAACCTCATACATAACCCACACTCTGCAGCGTCTGTCGAGCCTGACGCTGCTGGTCGTGTTGCTGGAGCAGACGATCGTACCGCAGCTCCCACCTTGCGTGATGCTCAAGCGAAACCTCGCATCGAGCATCATGGGACCGTCTTGCTTCTGAAACTCGTTTCTTCAGGCTGCTTGGGTGCAAGTCCTACCAGCCTTTTCACCGCATGCATGTAAATTCGGGAATCCGCTTCCTTGCCCGTCTGGCACATGCAACGAATCATGCAGCTAGGGCTGCGGAAGTAAGGCCCAGTTCCAGGTTTGACCCATTTCTTGCATGTTACACACAATGCGCTGCTGTCCCCAGGGCACTGGCACGAAAAGCGGTCTTGAACCCCGAGGATGGAAAACATCTTCTGTGCTAAGAGAAGTTTGTGCCATATCACACAGGTGACCAATCAACAGCAGCATGCGTTGCACCCTCATTGTAGCCAGTGTCCCAGCAGCAGGGTACTACCTGGAGGGCTCCCCCAGAATTCCCTTTGCATCATTGTCGGCCCAGATGATCAGATGAGGCTCCGAGATAGCAACTCATCGCCGCACTCCTGTAGGGCGCAGTTTAGGTCTTTGGGAAGTGGACAGTCGTTTCCCTCTGAGGGTGCTTCGGGGTTGGTTCATGTACAAGCATCAATGCTGTCTTGGTCATAGCTGGTTTCTGAAGTCTCCACCGTTCCTAGCGAGGCCTGCAGATCATAAGAGTCGAGCTCTTACATGCATGCATAGACGTATACGTACATGCTAAAATACATTGCATACCTGCATACCATGGATTCTGGTTCTACAAAGCACTGAAGGGCCTCTTGGGAGATTCTCGGATCCTTTCCCCACCGCCCAGGTCCTGTGATCTGCGCCAGGGACCCACACAGCCGTGTCACCGAGGCCTGGATCGGCTTTCACTCAAGCCCAAGGCCTATCATAATGGGGCTTTGGTGTATGTTATACTGTTCTACTGTAATTGTATTAAGGAACTCCGGAGGAGTATAGGTAATTATCAAGCTCTCTGTATTACCCGTCCTGTCAGTTCATCAGCGGCGTAAAGGCGGCCAAGAGGCATGATGCAGGTGTCGGAGGCAGCCGAGGTTTGAAGAGGAAGGTGGTAGCGAGTGTCCTGAGGGCACCACCGGCAAGCAGACACGCCGGCACACGCGACCGTTGCATTGAGTAAGATGAGTTGCAAAACTATTCGTGCACACATGAAGCCCTCTTCGTCGAAGTGGTCCTTTCTCCAGCCGCAGCTTCGTCGCCTGCTGGCCCAACGACAGAAGATCCATGTCCTCATCGTAAGACAACCCAAAGACCACAAACACACACACACACACACACACACGCGCACACACACAACACACACAACACACACAAACACATATGCAAATATATGTATTTGTTTTTTAGTTGTTTATGTGTTTATGAACCTGTTTGCTTGTATGTAAATTAATACGGACATATTTTAATACACACACACACACATCTGCGATTCGTGTACAAGTCATAAACAATTTCTTTAGCACCGCAGGGTGGAGACAGCTGCGGGCCAGAAAATGCAACCTTTCTCAAAGATGCAATGAATTCAGAAAGTTTTAATCTAAAGAATCATCTCTGGATGCTATGGAGTCCTTCACAATTAGCATAAGGATTTGGCGTACATCATACGGTGATTATTCAGGCCCCAAAATGATGTCCTCATCGGAGATGTCGTCAGAATTCGCGACTTCTTCATCGTCACCCGCTCCGCCGTTGCCTCCACTTCCTTCCTGCAGCGGTCGCTTGCCAAACGCCACGGGCTGACCCTCCCAGGTGTGCAGTGGGGCTTGGGGTTTAGGGTTTAGAGGAACATAGACTCGACTCTACTGATTCAGTACCCTTACTAGAAGGACCGTCGTAAAGGTAGCCCCTCCCCCTTTCTTGCGAGGAAGACCCTGGCCTGGCAGGAGATCGCTCGGACATCGAGGACGGCCTGGATCTCAGCGGCTCTGAAATAAGGTTTAGGGTTTAGGGTAAGACCATCAGCCTTTATATATATATATATATGTGTATGGATGATCATGGGAAGCTTGCGCATACAAAACAACAAGTTCTGGGGGCAGAACATACGAAATCACCGACGGTGGGTTGCTAATTAGTTATGACTGTAAGATGGAAACAAGCTCTCATCTTCTATTGTACGATCCTCATATTGGCTGTTGACACTATCCGCGAAATACTATGCTACCAAAAGTACGTCCTTTTGTAACGTTCGGTAACATGACATAGTGACATAGTCTTCATCGTATGCTAACTGGTCCAGAGACTGGTTCACGCGAAACCGAAATTCAATACCGACAGCTTCATCCGAGGTCCTTCGCCACTGTAATCCGGAAGGTGTAAGACACGAACCCTGAAGCCTTTGACCCGGAAACCTCAAACCTCTGCCCTGAAACCTTGCTTCAATCAACATCCTGCATTCCAAACCTTGAAAACCTGCACCCCTACATCCCTAATGTACACCCCCTCTGACTACTCACCCCTCGCATACCGGTGAAATTCCGGAGCCTAGTCACCAGACAACTCCCCCAAACTCCTTGCCCAAAAGCATCCTCTCCAAGCCTATCAGCCTCGCTGTTAGTTGGTGGCAAACCCCTGCCCCTAAACCCCTAAACACCAAACCCCAAACCCAAAACCCCCAACCCCAAACCCCTAAACCCCCAAAACCCCAAACCCCCAATCCCCAAACCCCTGAACCCCCTAAACCCCCTAAACCCTTAACCCCTAAACCCCCAAGGCTCCATAGAAACCCAGGGCCTGGTCCCAAGTCTTCTGGTTCGCAACCAGCTGCCGAAGCACTGCCTAAGAAAGGCGCGCAGACATCTGTCGGAAATCCGGCTTCCGGCTGTACCTGAAACCGAAACCTGAAAATTCTCCACCTCTAAACCACCAACAAAAACCCGAATATAGGGACTTTAGAAATTAGGGTAGGCTTTTGGGGCCCATCATACTATACTTATCGTCAGGAATTTCCAAAAACAGGATTGGCAATCATTCAGGCCCCTATATGAACCCCTCAGCCCGAAAGCCTCCCGGATCCTCAGCTTAAACCTCACCTCGATCTAAACCGGGCCTTGCCTGGTGGCAGGCGGAGGATGCCTCGAGGAAGAGGAGTTCTTCCGCCAGCCCTGGGATGGCTTTCTATTGAGATTTTGTGTGGTTTTTTTCTGTTTTTTGAGGGGGTTTCTTCGGGTTAGGGCTACGGCCAGGGGTTGGTGGTCTGGGGTTCAGGGTTTGGGCAGGTTTGGTTGCTGAGTTGAGGGCTTGCGGCTTGCAGTCTAGCTGCTTTGGGCCCTGGTGTTTCAGCCGTGCATTGCTGCCCGTGCTTCTTCTTTCGTTGTTTAGTATCTATACTTCTGTGACTGCTACGATCACGAACTACTACTGAAACCACCCGGGAAGAATGCAGTCAAAGCAAGAGGCCCTCCTGAAAGAAAGCTATGCTGTGCTCCATGGAAGCCAGGGGTGTTCTTCGAGCTGAAAAATATTGCAAGCCACATGAGGATACCGTCAAACTGGAACGATGATAGCTGTTGCAGCTACGAAACTATTTTAATCATCACCGAACCTCACATCACTGCCTGCGAAACAAACCCCTTAACAGAAACCTTGTAGTGGCCCACAGAAGCCTCATCGACCCTTTATAGCAACCCCACGAGTAACCCTTACGAAGTACGAAATAGCTTCCCTAAGCCCTAAACCCTTATACTGTAGTACCCCTATAAATCCTTAAAAGGGGCCCTTCTTCCCCCTACCTACTAAGTCCCATGGTCCTCTAAGTAAGACGCCGAGGCTCGGAGCAAGAGCAAGGTCCTGGCACCCTCACCCGCGGAGGAGCGAACGTGGTCTGCCAGGGAGGACCTGACGTGATGGGGCGTAATATAGGGGCCTTCAGAATTGGAGTAGGGTTCCCTTTAAAGGAGTCTATAAGGGTTGCGGTTTCTATAAGGGATACTATAGTTGCTTGAATATAGGGGCCTTAAGAATTAGAATAGGGTTCCCTTTGAAGGGGACTATGACTACAAGGGATACTATGAAGGTAATAGAATCGAATAGGCCCTTCGGTGCTTAATAAATAGAATACATGTAGCGGTGTTAAGTCGCATGAGAGCGCGTTTAGTCACAACACCCCAAGTGCACGCCCCGATCCGTGTTTAGTCGCATCACCCGCGTTTAGTCGCATCAGAGATAGCGAAACCCCACGTGCACACGGCCCGGGAGGTGGGATTCAATAAACACAAGTCGATGCGACTGAACCCATGGACCTAGTACGGTCTTGAAGCACATTATATCATAACTATAAGAAGGAACCCCAAAAAGAGTATTGGTAATTATTAAGGCCCTTATGCTAGGCGGCCTGGGTGTAGGTTTGGAGTACAGGTGCAAATCACGAACCGCTAATCATCCTGCAATACCCCTCCCACCGCATGACAATCCCACGACCTCCGAGCAAGAAAGCCTGAACCTCAAATCTCAAACCAATCCAGAAACCCCCACCAAAGTCTGAAAAGCTTAAGCCCACCCCAAATTCTGAGCTTTCCCGATAACGAGGATCTCAAGCTTCAGCAGCAGGTGGCCCTCCCCAGCGAAGAGCCATCCTCTCTCTTCGGGAGTGCGGCTTGTGCTCTTAGAATCTAGCATTGTAGTTGGTTGATCTCGTAGAGACGATGTACGGAGTTATTGATGATAGGCTGTCCTGGCATGATAGCCCCGGAAGCTCAAATGAGCTACTAAGGCACAAAATCCGAGAGCTCGATCGATGAGGAAGCAAAGGTAAGCATAGCCTCCGTACACAATTTCCTCAGATGCAAGCACTTCTCTCAATCGACTAGCTACTTAAGCCCTAAATCACCGATTATCCGATGCCTTCTTGAATCCTTCAACCTAGACACGGCCTGGCGAAGATCGGAGCAGCAGCAGAAAGAAGAGAAGCGCTGGGCTGGAGAGCCACCTGCACTTCTGAGTGCGGGTTTACGATTTAGAATCAGTTGTGGGCCTCATTACACTATAATTATAATAAGGAACCCCCAAAAGTGTATAGGTAATTACTAAGGCCCCTATATTAGAGTTTCGTTGAAGCTTCAGGGCTGGTGTACTTTGCTGTTCGGATCGAGGTCGTTTCAGGGATCGGGGGATAACTGGGTTTTTTTTTCAGTTTTCGGGTTGGGACTTCAATTTCGAACCCCCCCCCCCTCTCCTTCTGCTTGCGAGGCTGTTCGTTTTGTTGCGGGCCTCTTGGCCTCTGCGACTTTGGGAGTAGATCTCGCATCCCCAAGTGTGAAACACAGCTGCATGGCATCGGCCCGTCTTCTCCGCATCCCAGCCTGGGCCCAGCTTCGCCCTGGCACTTGGCCTTGTCGTCCTGCAATCGATGCACGTATACTGTTATACTCATGATAAAGAACACGAAAGTACAGTACTGGTACTGCTGTATTAATTACTGACTATTCTGGCCCCTGAAAATATGCCTCGAGGGATAGTGGGAAGTAAGCAAGCTCTTGGAGGAAGTGCTACTGCAGCATGAGCCTGTCATGGAAGAAGGGCCAAAATGCGTAGTCCTCCGCCACAGTGGCATCATCCAATCCTGCCGGCCAGGGGCATTTGAACCCCGCAGCGTCAACGAATGGAACATTGAAACCCTAAAACACGCCAAAAGACAAAAACCCTCAAGCCCTAAAACCTTCAACCTCCCCCCATGCGTACCCCATATCAAATCCCGAAGCGCTGAACCATGCCGTATCTCCTAAAACCCAGAACCCTAATCCTGATTCCCTAAACCCTCAACCGAATAAGACTAATATAGGGGCCTTAATCATTTTAATCGGGTTTTGGGGCCTATTATACTACAACCATAATTAATAAGGAACCCCCCCAAATTGGTAATTACTTAGGCCCCTATAGTATAAGCTACAACTAAGGGAACCAGCCTCCGGTCGAGGCATCGGCGAAGAGGCGCGACAGGCCGAGGCGGAGGCTTGCCTCCACGCGCTCCTCGGAATCAGCCGTGATCATGGGTGGTTTTTTTTCATTTTTGAAGGTTTCATATAAGGGTCATTCGATCTTAAGGGTGTTATAAGGGTTCGAGGTCGAAGTGTAGGGTTTTACGCTTTCGGGTATGGAATCAAGTTTGTGAATTTTTGGGTTTCGGGTTTAGCGTTAAGGTTTAGAGTTTGGGTTTTAACGGTCTCAACACTATGAGTTCTCGAGCTCTGAAGCTTTGGCCCTGAACATCCCCTCGAGCCCACATTCCCCAAACAGGGTGTAGGGTTTAAGGTTTACGGCTTAGGCCCTAAACTCCTAAACCCGAACTCTAAACCCTAAACCCAGCCCAGGCACGGCATGCAGCGCCTCAGACCGTGCTAGCGGCGGGAGCAACTCCAGGGTTAGCAGCCCTGGCAAGCGGAGAACAGGGCTAGATGAATGCACAGCTATTTAGATGTGCATCCATGTGCTGTGTGTGTGTGTAAATATGTATGTTTGTATACTTGTCTCTATACCTATCTGTGTATGTATATATATATATATACATGTACATATATACACATGTATGACCACATGTATATGTATGCCTGTACATGTGTATTTCGTTGTTTGTTTGGTTTGCTATTTTTTCATTTTATCCACTATTCGCATTTCATACATGACCATGTTTGTCTGCACGAATCTTTGCAATGCCTTACAGGTGTCAAACACGCGAGGTCAGACAACCCGGAGGTTTGCAACAACGAGCCTTTGTTACGTTGACATACCCTTTGCAACTTGGTATGGTCTGGCTGCCGGGCCCCGGCCGTTTCGCAAGCCAGCACCTGTAGGAAAAAGAGGATCAACAGGCAGATGCCCAAAATGGCCGCTGCCCTTCCACAATGCACCATCCTAAATGCCTACAGGTCCGTTTGACTACATCCTCATCCATGTCCGCGGCTAGGCAATAGACAACCTTAATGCCCACAACCCTACACCGTCAAAGCCCTAACCTCAAATATCAGAAAGTCCCAAACTCTAGAGCCTGAGACCTGAAGATCCGAAGCGCTAAGACCCTTATGGCCTGAAAGCACGAAGCCCTAATGCTCTGAAGGCAAAAAAACCCGAAACCCTAAAGCTCTGAGATCCAGAACCCAAAAAACCCTAGCTCTGAAGATTTAAAACCCGACACCCTAAAGCTCTAGAGGTCTAAAACCAGAAACCCTGAAGCTCCGAAAGTCTGAAGCCGAAAACCCCAAAGCTCTGAAGGTCTGGAACCCACATCCGACAGCTCTGAGGGTCTAAAACCCGAAACTCTACAGGTTGGCTCTGAACCTCCAAAACCCAAAACCCCTAAGCTCTGAAAGTCAAAAACCCAAAACCCGTAAGCTCTGAAAATCTGAAACCTAAAACCCATAAGCTCTTAAAATCTGAAACCTCGAACCCTCGAAGACAGGAAGGCCTTGCCTACCATCGCCAACAAAGCCGACTCCGACACTGCTGTGGCCCAGCCATGAGGATCGCCTGGAAGACATCTCATTGTAAGAGTTTAAACGGCTTTAAAAGGGTTTCGATAAGTGGATAAGATATCTTATTGTAAGAGCTTAAACGGCTTTAGAAGGGTATGAATAAGTTGTTACAGGACCTTGATCGTTTATTTGCTTCAAAGGGATTTGAAAGGCTTTCAATCCGGTTTCATAGCCTGCGCTACGTCTATGTAGTAGGAACAGGGGGGTCCCTAGATTAGGTGTACCAAACTAGAGTTTCAGGCTGAGGGGTTCGAGGCGGGTAAGCTTGAAAGTTACATCATTGGGATTCTCTTGAAAAGTAGGAAACCAAAATAAGGGTCGTGAACAACAAAGTAAGAAGCCTACTCCTGTATTTCCACTCTCATGCAGGGCTTGGGGGTTTTGGCTAGAAGGCCAGGGATTTAAACAAGCACATGGGACGTTTGGGGGCTTTAAGGCTTGTGGGTGCAGGTAGTCCGAGGTTTAGGACTGATACGGGATGATCTTCGGTGCTGGCTCGGCCTGCCAGCTTTTACGAATCAAGGACGAGGGTGGATGGTTGCATTGTCAGATGTCACCCCAAACTCTGCAAATGTAAAGGCAACTCGTCTTCAGAATCTCCAGTCCATTACTCATGTCGTCACTCGTGCGCGACTATTTCACGATCCTCTCGCCTAGACCTGCGTCAGAAGAATTTGACTGCAGACCCACGCTCGCCACTCTTCCAAATCCAGCGAAATGCCGAAGTAACAAATTCTCCAACAAGCTGCCGTCTGCGCTCGCGCCGATGAGGTCTGCACAGGCGCGTACCAACCTAATCGCAACTGGATCTTGGTGCTTCATGCTCTTTCAAGCGACGTCTGAATACTCGCAAGCACGTAACTGTCCAGCATCCGGCAGTGCTTCTGAGTGGCATGGGCAGGTCTTGAAGATCGTCGACCTGGATCAGAAGTTGCGCTGCGCGAGCTCCTCGAAGGCAAGCCGTCGATAGTGCCAGCAACCTCAAAACGAAAGAACCGCTGTGATTTGTATGTATATATATATATATATATACATACATCATAAATATCATACATATACATATACATATGTATACATGCATCCATACATAACCATACATACATGCATCCAGACATACATGCATGCGCGCATCTATACATACATATATGTGTAGACATGTATGTAAGCATGTACCTAGACCCATATACACATACATGTACATATACGCAAGCAGAACCGGGTACATAAACATGAACAGAACATGTACAAAACAATCAACATAAACTTTCACATGTACATATGCATTCACATACATATATGTGTATGCACGTATGAGTGTATGTATGTCTGTATGTATGTCTGCATCAATGTCTGCATGTATGTGTGTATAGCTGTGCGTGTAACTGTGCGTGCACATGCACACACACACACACATACATACATACATACATACATACATACATACATACATGCATGCCTACCTACGTGCGTACGTACGTACGTACACACACACATACATATATATATGTATATATACATATATATATATAGGTATATGTATGTATAGATGCATGTGAATACATTTAAACGTATAAACAACAGACACACTCAAGCAGGCCTATGTAGCAGAAGACGGTCAACTACCGTCTCCCGCCGAAGCTCTGGAAGGCAAATGCCCAGGGGCTGGAAAGCCACCACTGAATGATGGCCGTCGAGAGCTTGCGCCCAGTCCTGTTGGCTTGGAGAAATGGCTAGGGAGTGCTCGGAAAGGGCGTGCACGATCTACTCGTCGTACATATGCAGACAATTGCTGGGATGTACTTCCCGATGCGGCTGCGACTAACGGTTTCTCAATTCCAACGCTAAGTCCTGAACCTCAAATTGCAAAACCCTAAGGGGCCTAAAGGGCCTAAAGGCCTTAAAGCGCCTTCATGTTGTAATTGAGGGCTCCGGGCTCCTGAAAGCTGCGCGGTTTCAGGTTCGGACCAGGCCGCGGAGCGCTTGTGGGGCCCTCGGCGCCCAGCAGCAGCAGCCCTGCAAGCCACATCACAACATCTACAATCTACATCTATCTCATAAGTACATAAATGAACGCATATATATATATATATATATATATATAGATATAGATATAGATATAGATATAGATATATTGAACCTTGGCGTGGAATCCTGACTAGCACGAGCCTAAACATCCCTGATGATATGAAGAACCCCCTTAGCCCGAGTCCATTGGGTCGACCTAACCCAAAGGCCAAGATCACCGACTTTGCTGCGCCGGATTGCAACAGCTCCAAAGATTTCAGAAAGCTTACGGGTCCATTCTGGCAACTTTAGAGCTCCGAGCCACAAGCACTGATGATGGCCCAGCCGGTCAAGCCGTCGTGAGAGGGGCAACCGGCCTCTCAACAATCCAGGCCCACAAAAGCTTTTGAGCACAACTGGAGGGGGGGAAAAGGGTGTGCTCAAGCCAGGACAATCTGAAACAGTCACATGAGAACTTGATACACGAAATCCAAACCTCTAAATTCTAAACCCTAAAGCCTTGAAGCTCTCATAAGGGTTATATGGAGTAGTTCCCTAAATTGGGGACCCTTTCAGGATCCCTTTTTCAACCAGAATCCTCGATGCCCCCCCCCCGGCCTGGGCCACGAGCCCTTGCTCCTCGGTGGACTGCACACAAGGGCAGATGTCGTCATTGCTCATCATATATAATATGGTGTTAGTAGATAATAAATATAGTAATAATATAGTAATAATAGCTTATCAAATATAATATGGTAATTAATTACTAGTAAGTAAAGATACATCGTAGTAATAGTCATGCATCGGTACCTTGAAGCTCGTGCTGGTGGTAGTTCTACTTCGTAGCACAGCGTTTGCTCGTGTTCCCGTCTTCACATGGTGTATACTATCGTCAAGACCATCGACGCGAGGAGGAGGGGGTCGAGATCTCTTGCCTACTTCGTGCGAATCCCTCTAATCACAAAACGCTTGCTGCACCGTATACCGGCGCTTTGGCATTTTGAGCTTAAATTCTCGCAGCGATTGGGCTGCAGTATCGATGCGCTCTGTGGCTGTAGCCGGGGGTCTGCATGCACGCCGCGGACTAAATACCAAACACATTTAACTTCCAGCGAACTTCGAACATACTCACTGGCGTGTGTCCAAGTTGCCATCAGCCGCTTGCCCAATGCATGGCCTGGGCTTAGCAGCACGACTTGAAACTGCAAGAAGCAGCACAACATCAATTCAATCCTCCTGAGAATGTAGCTGGGCTGCAGCACGAGACGCCCATACCAGTCAATCGCTACTGACATGGTGCACACTGGCAGGCTGTCAACACTCCAGCAAAAAAAGCGAATCGTTCTTAGGAAATCCGCCTCCTCAAGTCATACAGCCTCCGGTTCCGCCACCCCGAATGGATCCGTATAGTAGTCCCTATGTTATTCCTAATAATAGTCCCCAAAATCCATTCCCCCATTCCCTACCCTAATATAGTACCCTAAACAGCAGGATCCGTATCATAAGGACCCGCAAAATACGGTACCCCTAATTTTCGGAAACCCTAAGCTCTTCCTTATGGAGCCCTCACTCCCCACTAAGAAGGTAAGAGTGTTTCTTGTTGTAGGAAAAAAACACGGGTTCCCCCACTAAGAGCCCGAGGAAAGAGATGCAGCTGCGTTGCTTGGCGCCGTGAGGTCACGGAGCTGAGCTACGTCCCAGGCACGGAAGAGGGCCACTGCCGCCTCAGGCGAGGAAGAGGCATCTATGTTATATAGCACTTTTTAGAATAGTATGCTATACTACACTCTAATTATGATCGCTACTGACATGTTATAGTATACTATATTGTATTAATTTGTACTATACTACACTACATAAATATTGTATCACGTTAGATAAGCTGTAAGTATGGGACTCCGTCACCAGGTTTTGATCGTGTGCTTAGCAATCGTTCAGAAGATCAGTTGAGCTTCTTGCCGTCGGTCACGGAAACAGAGCTTGCAGCTGTTGCAAAATGAAGGCAGAAAAAGAATGGTCAACTTGACAAGGTGGTGGTAGGGTTGGAGCCAACTTAACTTAAAATGCCATTACAAGGAAAGCGGAAATGGATAACCAAGGTTAACCTAGAAACGAAGCCGATCGCTGCAATCGTATGCGGCAGTACATCAGAAAAGTAAGGGAAACTTCACGCAACGTAGAAAATATGCATAGATACTTGCCCCCAGCACTGCAGTTGAGGGGCCACCTCGGTCGCTAGAACAGCGATCTTTTGCTTGCATTGCAGGGTCTCCTGACGGAGTACATGACAAGCAACACGGGCATTCCGTCGAATACGCATGAACACGGCATCGTGTGCCCTGAACCCTGGTGCCGAATCACTGAACCTGCATCATAAGAACAAGGCAGTAGCACTAACAAAAATCATCTCAGAACCATAACAAGCAGGAAAACAATGCCCAAAACCCTAAACCCTAAACAAGGCAGCAGCCCGCTCCAAGACAATGGCCAGCAGCGGACTTCGCTGCAGGGCCCCAGAGGGTGCAGAAGCCAGCTGTTGAAGCCTGGCTCTGGGAAACTCTCAAGGGTGATAGGCAAGTGCCACTCACACACAAACACACACACACACACACACATATATATATATATATAATATAATGTATGTGTATATACAGATATGCTTATCTATCTGTTGGTTTGTAGAAGACATGCATGCGTGTCCGTGCACGCAAGTATGTGAAACAAAACTAAATGCATGTGCAGCTGTATGTATATGTATACATACACTCATGTACTGAGGTACATGTATAATGTATGCAAAGCCTACAGTTATATATACACACCTACACATAAACACCACAACATATCCACAAATATGCGCACTTATGCATGTTCCAATACACACAAATATCCGAAGATACATCTACACATTACTACAAAAGGCATACGTGCACGTTTACTTAACTTATAAACATACCTGAATCCATACGCGTACATCATACAACATACATCATCTACTCCTAGAGCGTGCTTGTTTCACACGAATGCCCACACATATGTATACACAGAACATACATATAAGGAAGCACATGTGTGCATGTATATACGTATGTATATGTGTATATATATATATGCACACACACACACACACAAAACGTCTACATGTATGCACATGTGCATGTGAACGCAACTATGTACATACGTACATACACTCATACACATAAACGCATATTCATACATATGCATACACATGTGTGTATATGATGTAGGCATCTACAGTGTATACACATTTCATCTCTATATATATATATATATAATACACAAACATACATACATACATACATAAACCAATGTGCAAATACGTGTCTCTGTATTTACCCACCTAAAGGCGTATAAGTGTGTGTGTGTGTATATACATACACAAATATACATATGTATGGACATGCCTACGTCTGCCTGTATGTCTGTACACACGAATGTATGTATGTGTGTGTATGCATGCATGCATCCATCTATGTAGGTATATATTGTCTCTCCTACATTGGCTCTTAAATCATACTACATGCTGTTGTAAAACCACAAGAGCTTGAAAGAGCTGCCGACGAAGCTAAAGCCCTACACCCTTGGCAATTATCCCGGTGCTAAGGGGTCGCGACATTGGAGCTCGGAGAGTTCTCCTCTCTTCCTGTGGTGCTACAGTGTGTTTAGGGTTTAGGGCTTTGGCAGGGCGGCAGTATGGTTCTCTGCTGTGCCGTTGCAGTGGCGTGCAAGAAGCCCAGCATGCCCTCACAACATGAGGCCACGACAAACCACAGTTGACAACTGAAAACAATGGCAGGTAACAGGAAGAGGGCGATGCATTCCACAAGGCGCACTTCACCTGCCCGTGCAGCTGTAGGACTGGAACTGAAACTGCTGAGGACTAAGTTTTCGGGCATGGGCTGTGGAAGCCTGAGGTGCATGATTCGAGACAAAACTGGCCGAAGAAGCTTCAAGTCAAGATCTGCCTGCATCCAGAGAGGCTTCCGACATGGCGGATTGCTGCCACTTCATTGCGATGCCAGCAACGACATGGTTGCTGACCATAGCACCCTTAGGCACAGGGAGTCACAGACCCTCGAAGCAAAAAAGGATAGAGCTCCGTGTGCAGTGCAGAAGATTGGATCCCTCGTCAGATTCTCAGAAAACTTCTACTGGATTCCATTGAGCAAAGCTGCTGCTGCTTTGGATTCTGCTAAGCAGGTGGTCATTAGTGCTAGCATCCCGCCAGCAGCCGCCCGGCTGTGCATTGTAAGGCCGTCAATGTGCACCTTGGCTCCAGCTGGATAGATGCATCAGGTTGCGTTCCCTTGTGGCATGGCTGCTACCACTGCGGCACGGCTGATCAGCAAGGGAAGAACTGAAAGCGCAGCCAAGCTCCTGAAGGGCGTGCCCCAGCAAGACCTGCACAGGCATCTGAAAAGTTGAGCTTCCCGCATGAACGTGAGCAGGCATCCCAGCTCGGACTAATGAGGCTTTTTGTCATGACCATCCCTGGCCCTTAGGCAAGACTTCACGACGCCCCAAAGCGCGATCCACCAGAGCCCAGGGTGACCTCCACTCGCTGTGCCATCCACGTCGGAGATGGCAGGCATTGGCTCAACCAGGTCCAGTCCCCTGGCTCGCACACGATCTCGGTGGTCGGCGCGTTTTCGGGGACCTGGCTCGGATGCTGCTTGGGGTTTAGGGCTTAGGGACTCTCCCTCTCTTCGTCGGAATCAAAGCAGGCTCGTGCAAGTCGCAAGTGCTGGATGAAGATCCGGTGCAGCGCTTCGTCAAAGAGATAGCTACCCCCCCCCCCCGGAGCCACATCCAAGGCGAAGCAGTGCCCTGCCTGGCCAGCAAGCCGGCAGCCCTCCAAGTATTCCAACACCACTGCGCTGAGCAGAACATCCTTGGCATCCTCAGCTTCCGAAGAAGCGGCCATTTCCAGTTGAGGGCTTCGTTGCTTGTTTTGGTGTGGTGGTGGTTCACATAAGCAGAGGTTTGAGGTAGCAGCTGAGGGCCACTGTCCGAAGCCTTGTTGGATCAGACTTCAGCTACTGAAACCCCCCCTCATCGTCGGAGTCGTCACCAGCACGATAGCAATCGTAACACGGAAGCTGTAACGATTAATAGCGGATTGTTAAGCGCCAGCAATCAGTCATCAATTTGACAACCGAATAAAGATGGTGAACACAGAACAATATGTTGATGACACAATTTCCGTGAGACTCACTTGTTTGTTTAAGCCCCTCGGCGCGCCTCTGCATCCTCCACCGTCACCAGCAGCCAACCCAATGCCGAGCCAAGTTCTGCAGCTCCGTCCTGTTTCAGCAGCCGCCACTCCTCTCGTCATGGTCCCGTACTGGGGATTCTGGATGCTTCTGGCGCGAGTTTTGGGACTTGCAGCTTGAAGATTTGGTGGCCGCATGCATTTCCATAGCTGGGGGGACATGTTGCCGTGAGCGCCGGCACGGGCCTCGTCAGCACCAGTGTACGCCATGCTCTGCGCCGCTGCCCCCCGAAGTGCCCTGGAAGCCTGAAGCAGCGAATGATTAATGTGACTTGTGTATGCCTGCAAGCTGCTCTTCACCTCTCTGCACGTGACCGTGCTTGTGAGCCATTGTTTCCGGGCGGCCTTTTGACCTGAAGAATTAGAAACTCCTCCTAGCCCGGCGAACTGCCCCAAAGCCCTCCAATCTCCCCCGAATCCACGAAGTGTAGCTTCCGCCCTTTAAAGCCCCTTATCGCTGTTCGCCTGCCCCAGCGCTTCTGTGGCAAAAGCGGCTCGCTCGGGCAGGGCTGCGGCGCGTGTGACGGCACGGCCAACCTTTCCAAGGTTCTACACATTTGGTAAGTCAGGTAGCAGCACAGTTACAACTAGAGCAACTCTAATAACTGTGGCGACTCTACTTTTACCCGCTTTATTAGTCGCCTAAGATTCCACGTAAGGTTTCGGGTTTACAAGTCTGGGGCTTCGGAGTTCAGCCAAAAAATTGAACTGCTCCAAGGATGCCACTGCACGAATTTTTGCGGGATCGCTGTTGGCCCCTTGTGCTACGTGTCTTGCTTTTCTGGGTCTTCTTGTCTTGTTCTTGCTCTTCTGTTTCTTCTTGTTCTTCTTCAATCGAAAATCATGAACATGTTGGCTGGCATGTGGCCGGCACGTGCAAGACGAGAGCATACTGGCGCAAGACGTGGCTTTGCGTGGGCTGGGTTGGCTTAGTTTGACTGCAGTTTTGGTGAGACTGAACAGCAGACGACTCGATCATAATCAGCACCTTTCACACAGGCATTGACGGCTTGGAGCCGAAAGCCGGTGAAAACGCAGCAACAAAAACCAACGACCAAACAGCACGAGCTCGCGATGAGTACATACACTGGCCACAGCTGTTCTTCCTGTCGTTGCTTCTGTCATACTTATTTCCAGTATCCGGGTCTTCCTTGCTTCCTTTCATTCCCTCTTTCGTCCCTTCGTTCTTGTCTGCCTTCCGGTATGCCCTCAATTCTTCCTTCAAGTTTGCTTTCTTTCGTCACTCCATCCTTGCCTTCTTGGACTTCCATGCGCCGGTACATGCAACAGCTGCTAAAAGTTTAGGGAAACCAACCTACAACAGATGCAGGAAAAACCTATCAGCTCTGAAAAAGAGGCCCTCTGTTAAGACATCCGCATTGAGACTCCTACAGCAGGCTTCTATATGGTTCTGTAGTGGTCTAACACGATTTCCGAAGGCTTCTATGGGATGCGACCTCTCATATTTGCAGCAAGTGTACTGCTGCAGCAAGCGATGCCACCGTGCGAAGAGGCAGCAGCGGCAGTGCAGCCTCCATCAAGCTCTCCAAGGCGACCTGCATGTCCCAGACTCATGTAAGCCCCTGATTAATGAGCGTTCTGTCATTAAGAGCCTTCTAGTTTGTATCCGCATGGTACAGTCTTGCACACCCCGAATCCTAAACCCTAAACCATAATCCCCCCAAAAAGGAGACCTCCTCCAGCTCAGCCCCCTTGGGGCCGCTGGCACGGAGGGCGGCGCCCAAGACGAGCCTCGAGGCAGACTCTGTGTTTGGGCTCGCTGGTTAAATTGCTTGCCTACTTTAGCGGATTATGGGACTTAGTAAGTAGGGGTTATAAGTACCATAATTAAGGCGATAAGCATATATAACTATAGTTACCTTACTTATGACCCTAAAAACTAAGTCCCCTGATCCTCCAAGTAAGCTATAGTGACTTTTGGTTTAAGTCATGAGTTCAAGGTACTACAGACTATGTTGATGTTGTTTTGGGGCATATCTGTGAATTTTCAAGTTGTCTGTGTGCTCGTTGGGCGCAGGATTCATGGGCCTTGGGGGCTCACGGTCGAGGCTCTGCAGTCGAGACCTTCCGTTGGTCGGTTGAGGGTTTGGGGTTTAGGGGTTTAGGGGTTTAGGGGTTTAGGGGTTTAGGAATAGTGGTTTTGGGTTTACGGTTCTGATGCATGCAGGAAGCAGCTTTATAGGGCTCAGGGATAACATTGAAGTGATCCTAGACCCTCCAATATTCAAGCAAGTTAACGCAAGATGCAAGCTCTAATGTAGGGGTCGGATCCGTTGCCAACAAATCCCGTTACAGTCCCTCATGCAACTACGTATCACATATTCCCACATGCTATTAACATGAGAAAGGCATGTAACCCTTATAGAACCCTTGTAGTAACCCTTGCGATAAACCTTGCCGCAACCAGTATAGGACCTGACAAGGAACTCTGCAGCAATGAGGGCTTAGGGTTTGGGTTATCTTGAACTACCACAAGCTACTTTTTTGTAGGTTCTTACTCATAAACCCTAATCCCTAAATCCTTAGATCCCTTTAAAGGATCCCTTCAAAGGAACCCTTCTAGGATCCCTTAAAGGAACCCTTAACGGATCCCTAAGATGTGTAGAGCGGCCAGGTCATGAAGGTATCCGGTCGCTGGCCGCTGCTGAGGGAAGCGGAAGCGAGGCAAAGGTCTCTTGGCTTCACCTGTGGGTTTATGGTTTAGTGTTTAGGGGTTTAGGGTTTAGGGTGCCGGGGTTTAGGGTTTGGGGTTTAGGGGGCTGGGTTGGGGGTTTAGGGTTCAGGAGGCTTTAGGGTGCAAGGTTTAAGGTGTAAGGTTGAGGGTTTAGGGGGCTGTACTTGGAGGATCATGGGACTTAGTAAGTAGGGTTATAAGTACCATAATCAAGGTTATAAGTAGATATAACTATAGATCAGATACCTTACTTATAACCCTACTTACTAAGTCCCCTGATCCTCCAAGCAGGGTTTGGGGTTTAGGGCTTAGGAGGCTCTAGGGTGCAAGGTTTAGGGTTTAGAGGTTTAAGGGTTGAGGGTTTAGTTTAGGTCCGTTTCGGGTGTGGGGCTTAGGATTTAAGGTTTCGGGTTTAGGGTTTGCGGCTTCGGGTTTCAGGGTGTAGGGTTTAGGATTACTCATGGTCGCCAACCTATAAACCGCATGAAGTCGAAAGGATGGGCAAGTTTGAGGTCGAGTGTTACGGTTTCTTATGGTGGCCTGGGGGTATTTCGGCTTTACGGCTTCAGGCTTACATGGGGGTGGGTCCAGAAAGCCCGGGACCCTGAGCTCAGAACCCTGGGACGGCTTTGAGTCTGCAGCTTCAGTCTTAAATCAAGGGTTGGTTGAGGTTTTCGCACTGGCCACAAAATTTGGGTGTCGAGATTGGGATGTTGTCAGGGCTGCAGAGGTAAACTCCGACATCGGGTTCGCAAGGTTTCAAGAACGCAACATCCGCGACGGGCGGAACCGGCATGGGCATCTTCAGTGCTGCGACGCTGCCAAGAGCTGTAGGGAAGTCGTACCCAGTGAAAGGTAGGGAGCCAAGAGCACAGTGAGGAGCCGACCTCACAGGCAGTTCGTCTCTTTTCCAGATGCCACCCGTCAAGAAACCTAACGACGGCCTGCTGCGAGAGACGTGTCGGACATGGCTGATCCTGCCAGGTTTCGGCAAGCACAAACTTGGGCTTTAGTATAGTGCTCTAAGAAAAGTTTTCGCCTGTAGGGTTCCTACGATTTTTTGTGACATGACCCTAGCTCCTGCAGAAGCGAGTGAGGGCAATGATTCAGCTCGAAGGAGAACATATGCCTGTGCCGCCTGCCTCTGCTTTGGCTTCGAGCTTGGGGCTTCGACTTTGACTACGGCGGGTCCTTCCGCTTGAGGAAGATCTTCGGACAGCATTTCCTGATTGAGGGTGGAGGCAAAGCTGAAATTGCAAGGAATCTTATCATATTCATTCTCGTCATGCAAAGACCCAGCCCAAATATCCTGGCTTATTCTAACAACGTTATTGACAAACATGGAACTAGCCGCAATAAGCAGTCACAGTCGCAATCACACTAATGATCCCCCCTATGTGGGAGTTTCCGAAAACAGGGGACCCTAATACAGCACCCTAAAGAGTAGGATCCTTATTATAAGGACCCCAAAATAAGGTACTCCTAATTTTCGGAAATCCCATATTAGCTACTTCCTAAGCGACGGTCAAGCGACCTGCACCGAGGAACTTCTTTTACCTGCACAGCTCATTGGCGCAGACCGTAAGACGGCAACGGTTTGCAGGGCCTCTTCCATCGGCCGTGTACCGTGTACGGTATAAGCATTTATGTCGTGTTCCACTGCAGCTCACTACATGTATACATTGGTTGCTGCTTGTTGTCACATTGTTGCTGGAAGGGCAGTAGTCATGAGCTAAAGCTGCCCAGAGGCACAGTCGTCCTCAGTGCACAGCTCGGGAACCAAGTGTCTAAGCCTCACGAGAGACAGAAAGCCGAGTTCTCAGCTCTGCACTAAGGAGCCATAGCAAGACACCAAGTCGATATGGGAGTTTCCGAAAATTAGGGGTACCTTATATGGGGTCCCTATAATAAGGATCCTACTATTTAAGGTACTATGTTAGGGTCCCCTATTTTCGGAAACTCCCATATGTGTCCTTTGGTGAGGTATAGGGGATTGAGAAGTTCAGGGCTCATGATCATGGACTCCCGACCTCGGATAGGAATGATTGTCACACGTGCCAGCACAGCCCCAGCATGACTTGCAGTGTTACTTGTGTCGTCTGCTGATACCAACATGCTGCACTATGTCACTCTGCCAGCCCGTGAAGTGTCTAACATACTTTTATCTGCAATCCGTTTCATTCGAACTGCAAGCGTTAACAAAGAAACGTCAAAACATCGATTATGTTCTGTAGTTTGAACGTCTTACGCGTTGGCAGAGCCCGAAGCCAGGGCTGCCACATGACCTCTACGATCGACATCACGCGCAAGTACAATTCCTGTGTTATACTGTTATTACTGTACAAGTGATACCATAAGGGTTGCTGCCTCTGTCTCCACGACCGGCAAACGAACGATGCTAGACCAACAAAAATCACTACCTGACTGGCAGACTAGCACCTTACAGCAAGCCACTAGAAGCCTCCGAGGCAGTTAGCGAAGCAGCCAAGCACTGTACCAGAAACACCAACTGGGCCTTGAAACAGCCATACAAAAGACTGCAAAACATATGATCTAGTCAAGTCTCAGCTCCTACGTATTCCTAGACGACAAGATGAGGCGACATAGGTCCTCGTCTTGTTTGGCGCTACAAATGAGAACTCCCAACTTCGCGACCAGCGGCTTCACCAAACATCCCCGCAGAGACATGGCCTGTCCAGGAGAGATTCAGGGGTTTGGGCTCCCCGGGTTCCAGGCTGCCCTGCGAAGGGCGGTCTAGGATCTTGGGATGTTTATCCTTCTGCCACCGGTTGATCCCAGTTGCGTGCTGATACCTGAGCCTTAAGCCCTTTGCTCGGTTGATCAGCCTGGCATCATGTATGAAAGCTTGTCAGCCCTGCTGGCGTTTGGGGTTGGAGGAGATGGGCTTCCTCCCCCAACAACCTCACTCTGGCAGCGGAGAACTGCGAAAGGGAGCCAAGCCTGGTCCTCGCTCCAGCTGCTGGTGTCCAGCTCGAGCCTGTCAGGATTAGACAACTACTCAGCGAATTACTGGGCAATACGAACGAGAGTGATGGGTGTCGGATTTCGGCCGGGCTACGGCTATCCTTTTTCAAGTGTTCGCTCCACTTGCCCCACTCAATTTCTCGCTGTTAGTTACAAGACTTCACCCCCTTCTGGCCAGGAAGCTTTATCATATCACAGCTACAGAGCAGAAATTCCTCCATTCTGTACTGCAAAACCAGAAGATTGAGACAACGTAGAGCTGAATTAGGCGTGTAACAGAGCGCCACCCGAAGTCCCAATACCAAACGGCCTGGTGTCGTGGCTAGTCCTGCTGTTGCTCATCATCTTCTTCTCCTTCGTCACTAGCACCACAATCATCTTCATGATCACCACCATCACCATCACCATCACAACCACCGCCATCATCCAATCACCATGCTCGAGCAGTAGTAGCAACAGCAACATCTTCATTCCGAGTATCCTCATCATCGCGTGCCGTGAAGCTTCTTTCTCGTGCTGGAGCTTGGCACTCCAAGACGTCTGAGACCCCCAGCAGTGGCCAAAGGAGGGCGGCGAGGGAGGCGACAAGGTGGCTCTTCCTCGGGGCTCTTGAAGCAGGCTGTCGAATTTTGGGGCTTCCGGCTAAAGGCTCTGAGTTGCAGACTGGGCCTCAAGACGGTTGACTGTGAGTTGGTGGTGATTCGTGAGTTGCTTCTACAGCTTGGGAGCCTCGGGAGCCTGAAGTGTGAGCGACTGATTTCGAGCTAGATTTGGGGCCCTTCATACTTAGAATACGGTTTTTTGGGGCCCATTATACTGTATACTACAATCAGAATAAGGCACCTCCAGAATAGTATTGGCAATTACTACAGCCCCTATATTGCCCCTCTCCTTTTTCCTGGTGCGTTTGTCTTCAAGATTGACCTTTCGGCAAGGACAGTAATGCTTCTCGGCTTCCGGGCGCTCGGCCTTGGCCCCTGAAACTGCAACGGGCAGCTGGCAGTAAGAGCTTTCGTTTGCTGGGCCGCCAAAATAAACTTCCTTGAAGAACAGCCAACAACAGGAGACCTCTTTCGGAGTACATCTGGGCAATATGGGCATCTATCAGAAGCACCTCCTTTTTCATGGGCCATGCACTTCAAGGAACTCCACACTCATTGCCCCACTCCAGGCCTGAGGATTGGCCAAGTCCCTACAACGCCCCGCAATGCACTAAAAGCCTCCAAGTATGAGGCCAAAGCTCCTGCAATCCCAAAGCCGTAGTTGAACTGTTGCTACGGCATCCGGAACGAAACACTACCAACCTACCAACCCTTTGGGTTCTCAACCGTGTGCAAAATCGCATGTATGCGCGATTGAACCCCCGTCAGTTGTGAACTGATGCATGACCGAAGAAAAGACCCTCAACACTGCCACGAGCACTCAATACCCACCAAATGCCCAAACGTAGAACACCTGGAAGCGTGCAGCGAAGGCTCGGCAGGCTCTGATCACTCGGTGCAACTGAGCCTTGACTATGTAGCACACTACGTACTGAAAGGCAGCCTTTTGCTACGAAGAGCTGGGGGGTTGTGGATGTGGGTTTAGGGAAAGGGCTTGAATCATGGCTTCGGGGGTTCGCAGCTAGAGCAGAACAGGAAGCAGGGTCTAAAAGACATCGTCTGCGAGTTTGGGCTGGAATCCTGAGAGTCGAGTGATTGACAGCCTCGACGGTCTTCTAAACGAGCTGCTGCAGAAAGATTTGGAAATTCTGCACATGTGGGAAACAATCGGGAAACAAAAAGAAGCCCACACTGTCTTGAGGCAACCTGATCTGGAGATGTCTGAGTTTTAGGACTAGCTCCCAACCCAACCCTCAACCCCAACGACAAGGATGGTTCTCTTCAAGCAGTCAAGAGCAAAGTCTTCAAATCATGTCAAAGATGCTATGTACTTCAGGGAAGCATAAAAAATCACTCCACAATTCTCGAACAGATTCGGAATGGGACAACAAGTAATCCTTAATTAAAATCAGTTTGAAGCAGGGACTGCAAGAGACATCGATACAACGCTAAAACACATCGAGCAAAGTCTGCCAACTGACTGCGCTTGACATATTATGACAAGCAGCCAATCTTCTCTGCGCAGCGGACCATTACGTCAACGTCACTCAGGCATGGGTCAGCACAAGGCCATGCCTGGCCGTGGGCGCGCTGGGAGCCCTCATCCTCTTAGATCCGTGTAGTTGCTCTAAACGACAGCTTACAGAAGTCTGCATGATCAATGAAGCTTCTGTATGAAGATCCAGAGTTGGCATCTAGTCTTGAGATGTCTCGAGGATATCTTCCACCACCTGATCTCCCAAAGACATTTGTCCTTGGCCGACCCGTTCAGGTTTATGGTACCCTTATCCTTGCCTCATCTGCACTTGCAAGCCGGCTTTGGATCGATGCCCAAGCAGCATCGGCAACGCCCACCTCATCACATCAACTAGCTGCATTCACTGAACTGGCGCAGGCCTGTGAAGGGAAGCTGAGCTGAAACATGCTCTACACTGGTGACCGTCCCACATGTCGCTGCGAGTCTTCGTCTCTTCCTCCACTCAAAGGTGTGCCCCAAGCAAAGCGCACGGGCACAGACTGCAGTGCCCTGTCCAAGGCCCCGGCAAAGAGCTTGCAAAGAGCTCCGTACATCACTGGCCGGGAACCAACTTCCTGGCAACAACTGGCCGCCGTTCACTCTCAGTAGCTTCGTGTGGGGCCGAGTAGCCTCACTTGCTAGACGGTGGTGATTCTGAAGTTTGCTTCAGCTGCGCCTTCGCAATTCGGTTCGTGGTATCGATTGGCATTCGGGATGAAACCATCGTCTGCAATCATCGTAGCTAGCTCGAAAAATAAACTACCCTAGTTGAAATAACGGCCGCCCTCACAAAAGCCATCATAACAGAAGTAATGTCTCAAGACCAACCATCGACATTAAACTCACTGATTAAATCCTGAACCCTCAAACCCTGTACTCGCGGTTTTTTGTACCCGGAGGGCCCCCTCCTTCCGCAGGGCCAAAGCCGCAGCGAGGCCCAAGAGGCTCCCGAGGCACTCCGAGGACGAGAGCTCCGGGCACCGGTTGGCCGCAGAAAGATACACCTAGGGAGATCTCAAAGCTTTAGGGCTCCTTTACACCTGGTTAAGGTTTTTTTGGGGGGGTTTAGGGGCTCTCAAAGCTTTGGGGCTCCTTTTTGCTTAACCCTTGTCTGCTCGCCATGGGAGGGTTTAGGGTTTGGGTTTAGGGCTTAGGGGTTCCAAAAGCTTTAGGGCTCCTTGTTTTGAATCCCCTTGTCTGCTCGCTATGGTCAGCTTTAGGGTTAGGGCGTAGGGAGAGTCTAGTCTGGTCAGGGTTTAGGTTACTTGTGGGGCTCCCGATGTTCAAGACTGAGGGTCAGAGATGGTCAAAGCCTGGGACGGCTTTCCCCGAGCAGCAAGAAGCCCCTTCCTGCTGCTCCTGTCCGTTCAGGGACGTGGGACTCGAGGTGCGTATGTAGGAACCTGATTAAGAAACCCTTTGGGCCTTTATTAGGGGTCCCTGAGGTTCCTACAGTAGCATGGACTACAGAGCGATAGCGAAGTGCTAAGCTTTTGCTTGAACGGCTTAGTGGTGTTGCCTTTCAAACCACTTGCCTAATACAGATGTCGGATTAATCAATAATGATATCTTCCTTGTAATCCCTAGACTTGGTAGGTCCTGTAAAAATGTCCCCCCAAAAAGCGGCCCAAAACCCAAAACCCTCTTCTAACAATTAAGGCCCTGCATATGTACTCGATAACGGCAGAGCTCCTTAAGCCAAGGCACCGGCTCCATGCACTCCTCCAAAGTCACGGAGCCTGACTAAAGTCTAGGCTCGATGGATCCATACTTCATATGTTGGAAGAGTCAACCACTGTAAAAGCTGCAGGTGATGGACTTCTGTGTAGAAGTTCGAGCGGGCACCGAATCCTTCCGTGTGCCTGGTGGTTTCATGAGACTTCGCAATCTCACTCTGCGATGCAAGGCTTGCATGCAGGGTGTGTCCACAGAGCTTGGGGGTAGCTTCCGGGACAAGTACAGTCCGCAAGATGTCCCAAACTCCCTGCAGACAAAGCGTCTTGGAAGTCAGTCCATTTCGCTTGGGCAACTGGGGCTCCCGGAAAAGCCATGAAATATCAAGTCACAACTAACCACAACTAGCACAACAGCCCCACCACAGCAACCTTTCAAACCCCAGGCCCTAAACCCTAAAACCCGAAAACCCCAAACAAATTCCGAACGGTTTGGCCTTGACCCGGTCTCAGCGGAAGCTGCTCTGCAGCTCGCAGCAAAGGCACCAGGACCTCCGGGTTGTAGGCGCCTGCTGGCTGGAAAGCTTAGAAAGCATACAGTATCTGTGAGTTTGTGAAAGTAGGAATATTCAAGTCAAGGGTCCGTAAATGCCATCATCCTATAGCATATAGGAATCTCGGCCTTTAGGCTCTATATCGCAGCCCCTATGGGCTGAAACTCCTGTAGGAACTACTGCAAAGCGCACTGTGGGTTCTCCCGAGCATTAACCGCACACGATATCCAAACATACGCGAGCTCTATCTTTCTAGCTATCTACCTACCTATCTATCTGCCTGATTACTATCTATCTGCTATCTGTCTTCCTACCTGCATGTCTGCCTCTGTCTATCTTTGAAACTACGGAAAGCATCCTCAGCAAAAGTCCCTCATCATTTGCTCCGAGCTCCGAAAGGCCTGGCCTGCGCCTGGCGCCAGCCGCGCCAAGCCTGGTTTAGAAAGGCTCGGATCCGGGATTTGGGTTTACGACTCATATACCGAAATCATAATGAGGAACCCGAAAAAGGTAGGTTCTGTTGGGGTTAAGGTCGGGTTTATGAGTTTAGGGTTCTTGGCTGCTTCAGCTGAGCTCTGCAAATACTGAATTGCTGCAGCGGCAGAAGGCCAAACAAGTGGCCACGATGCGAAAAATCTGTCTGTGGTAGCTTCATGCTTGCGCATGAACCCAGTAGAATCAGTAGCAAGCGAAACCTGAGAGGCCCCACTTCGAACCAGTGAGTCAGAGCTCCAAACCTCTGAATTCTAAACCCCAAGACCTTTCCCAAGCCCGCACAGCCCTGGTGCTCCAGCTCTGAGTCAAAATCCGGCCGACAAACTCAGAAGAACAGCATCCGAGTCCTCAACCTTCGGCCTCTGATTAGATCCCACCAAAGTCAGACCCCGCTGCCCCAATATCTACATCCCAACCGCTGTACCCAAAACCACAGCTCCCTTGCGTCCCGGGCGCTGCCCGTGGCAGAAAGGAGAAGTCCCCGACGGGCGGCTGCAGCTCCCGGCAGACGCACCGCATCGGCGCAAGCGCACTGGGAAAAGAACAGCAGGAGCAGGAATCGCAAACCCTACAGGAACAGCAACTATAATAGTTGGTACACGAAATAATGGTAATAATGTAAGAATTTCAATCAGCACCAACACATGAGATCAATCCTTGGCCTGTTTGTCTAATTTCACCTTTTTGTCCCTTGGCTGGACGTTTTCATTTTGATGCTCTCTGCGACGGGGGGATTCACTTAAGTGTCCGGGATCAAAAAGAACTCAACACCTTCGATGTAGATTCTTCCTGCCACTGTGATTCTATCCTATAGCATTTCTGAGTCTTGAAGCCCCCCGAGGGCTTCGGGGTTTCGGATCCAAGCCTTGCTCCCTCGTCTTGTTTAGCATAATGTATGGTGTTAAACCTGCTTTGGACCTTTTCTGCTCAGAGTCCGTGCCCCAAGAGTAGACGACCCAAAACGGAGTGTGTGCTTGAAATTGAGGGACACTTAGATCAGGTGTAGGGCTTTCTTGGGCCAGGAGGTTCTGATACCATGCACAAGTCGCTCGTCTTTCCTGAACCTTCTACTCCTCACTTCCACCAAGGCTCCACAAGCGAATCTGCCGCTGAGGTCTGCAGGCCGTGCAGAAGCACCTACGGGGAGTTCTGAGAAAATTACAATGAACTTCGCTCGCAGTCTGTCGCTCCAATGAAGAAGCTTTGCGACTTTCCGTTTCCATGCACTTAGAACTTCAAACGGCCCGAACTTTGCACCGGGTCGTCGGCGAATCGTCCCATGGCCCTTGCCGCCGCAGCGCGTGTGGCCAAGTCCTCGCCAGATTGACCTCGCAAGGATCACAGGAACAACTACATCTCCATGAACACCGCTGCAATTGACGAGTTGATTGCTTGATGTACCACTTGCCACTGACATCTCCCTTGACTTGATGGCTGGGGGAAATAAATGGGAGTTTCCGAAAACTAGGGGAGTCCCTGATTTTGGTGTCCTTATAATAAGGATCCTACTATTCAGAATAATTACTATATTAGGGTCCCATATTTTCGGAAACTCCCAAATGGGACTGCATATCTGTCTGACCTGCCATGGCAGCGGCAGCGACACAGCGGACAAGACAGATTTGCCAATTGATACAGGGGCCTCAATAATTAGAAAAGGGGCCTAGGGGCCATTATACTAGTATTATCATAAGGAACCCCCAAAAATAGTATAGGCACTTATTTCGGCCCCGATAGTAGCCATTCCCAAGCTGCCTCTGAAGCTGGGTGCCCGGCAAGCTTCGATGAGCCACTGAGCGAGATGAGCCTTGCGCATCCAGCCTTCCACCCTCTCATCGTCCTCGTGCCCTGGCAGGGACGACTCATCACCACCAAATTGCAATTCCGTCTCAGACTCCCAACGTTGGTGTCCCTCCCACATTTATGTAATCAGATTCCCGGTCTAGAATCTAGAATGAGATGATGAGGCAGAAAAACAGATTAAAACACGCGCTTAGTAGCTCCCTGACGAGTTCCTGCATGTGTTTGTGTGAATTTAATAACGCAGAGGTCATCTAGGATGTGTGCGTAGCTAGACAAATCTCGGAAGCTCTCCGTGCAGGCCTGCGAAGTGCGCCCCAAAGTCCTCGGCGAGCTCAGCAGCCGCGGCGCGGAGAGCGGGCTCCTCGTAACATCTGGTTTGGCGTTGTGGCGTTAAGTCTGTGAAAGCTTTTGGGTTGGGGGTCTAAAGAGTTTGGGGCTTTGAGTTCTGAATTTGGGTTTTGGGTTTGGTAGCGGCTACAGACTATGGTGTTGGGAGTCTTGTTCTTGGCCTTAGACTTGGGTTTGATGGCTGAGGCGGCCAGAGTTCAACAGTCTCAAACGGAATGCTAAGCGGAAGTGTCAAAGTGAAATGCGCACACACACACACACACACGTGCACATGTGCGGCTATTGCAGGTATGTGCTGTTTTGTAAGTTCCGGTTCAACAGGACGCCGTTTGAGATCGGTTCAGAAGTCATCAGACACAGTACCACATTGCATAGGACTGCTCAGAGTAGGTGGAAGCGCTGAGCGGTGATCGCCGGGCTTTGGCACTTACTATGTTGCCTCTGGTGTTCCGGTGCTCCTGACAGTGTTTGGCTAACATCTGGATGTTTACCCATGTCACTGGACGTTTTCAAGCTTCGGCAGCCTTCTATCAGGTTCCTGGGGGTTCTTCCGGGATCTTTGAGCTTTCAAGCTGTGGGGTTGAAGTACCAATAGGGTGTAGCCTGCCGTTCTGCCACAGCCACATCTCGTGTTGAGCGTGTTGATGAGTTCGGGATTCAGTCGTGATATCGTTTAAACCTCGCTCTGAGAGATAGCCGTTTCTGACCTCTGCACTTCACATCCGAAAGCCCAAAATTGCTCTCTAGTTTGGGTATCCGACAACGTCGGCAGGAAGCCACGCCCTGCTGGAAGAAAGAAGAGCCGAAGCAACGCAGGAGCCCTCCCGCCAGCCTGGCATGTCAGGTGCCGGCTCAGCCCCACGGCCTCGTGTGTGTGCGAGCTTCTGTCCTTCCGAACGCTTCGTAGACCGGTGATCAGACGCGTTGCAGAAGCAGTCGCTGAGAGCCTGGCGATCGACTCTGCATGTGCCGTCACGTCCCCGGACAGCAGGCACTCGAAGAGCTCGGAGTGCAAGGCACACATCCTGGCAGTTGTTGCATGAATCGAATGCCGTCGAAGGCAAGTTGGCCTATATTGACCTCACATGCCTCACATGATGCATACCCGCCCGGGCATGCGGCAGGTCTGAAGGCCTTCAGCTTCAAATCCTGAAAGGCGAGCACAAAATGGCGCCTGTACATGGCCAAAAGCGTCGTTGCCGTTTGGCTGCCCGGCGTCGCGGCCGCCAGGGTGCGAGAGAGACCTTCAGAAGCTGCTCGGAGGATCAGGGGACTTAGTAAGTAGGGTTACAAGCAAGGTAACTATTGTTATATCTACTTGTAAATACTATAACCCTACTTACTAAGTCCCATGATCCTCTAAGTGCTGTGCCTATGCCTATGGCCTCCAACTTGCCAGGCTCGGGATGTCAGAAACGGAGCGTTACAAGTACTTGGTTTCCGGACAAATAATTATGCACGGGAGTACTGCATGGCCATCCGGAACCCCTGACGTCGAGTAAAACCTCAGCGCCCTAAAAATTCCTCAAACCTCGTCGTTTCCCTTCTGTTATCCTTCGACCTTTCGTAACTCTTGGGAACCGCAAGACCCCCTCAAACTCTACCACTGAATTCCCGAAGTCTTGAAGCGCAACGCCAGAGCCACAAATCCTCAAGTCATCGCTGAAATTCCAGGAGCTTGCTACACCTGGAACCCCAAAACCAAAACGGCCGGCGGTTTAGGGTTTAGGGTTTAGTTCAGAAATCTGCGCCGAGGACATCTATGGATGGTTTTGGGGAACCATAAAGCCAGGCTTCTTCTGAAAGCAACAACAACTCGGCCCTTATCGCCCTAAGGTCCTTAACGACGTTACCCCCGAAGCCTAGACCCCGCGGCCTCGGCTTCGAACCACTAGACCCTTAGCCCCCAAACACCCCAAGCCTCAAACGCGAAACCCTCAACCAGAAGCCCCTGCTTTGCGGTGCCTAAACCCTAAACCCCACACAATAAACCCTAACCCTGAACTCTAAATTCTCTAAATCCTAAACCCCAAAACTCTAAACCCTAAACCCCAAACTCTAAACCCTAAACCCTAAAACTCTAAACCCTAAACCCCAAAACACTAAACCCTAAACCACTGACGTCGGGGGGCGCGCGGCAGCCGATGTCAGGGCCGCGCCCAGCGCAGGGGAGCCGCGCTCGCAGAGGCGCCTTGGGCTTCGCAGGGCTCCGGATTTTGGATTCGGTCCCTTTTGCAGCAGGCCTCGTTGTCCAGCAGCCCGGTTACTGGATTCGGTCCCTAAACCCTAAACCCTAAACCCTGTGTTCCGGGTTTTTTTTAAGTGCAATAGCCCCTTTTCCAGCCGGGTTTAGTGTATGAGGGTCTAGGCTTTGGGATGCTGTAGGCTTTTGGGGTTTAGTGTATCAGGGTCTAGGCTTTTGAATGCTGCTTTAGGATGCAGTAGGGTTTATGGTTGAGTGAGGGTGAGGGTGAGGGTTTAGGCTTAAGGGTTTAGGTTTGCGGTTCAGAATTTCGGTGCTGACGGCGGTGCGGTCTGAACAAGCTCGCGACATACCCAGAAGAACAAGCGGCATCACGCATGATGCGCTTCATTATTCATGAGGATCTTCGCACCCGTGCTGATAGCTGAACTTCGTATTTAGCAGAAACAATAGGCCAATTACGACATTAAAGTATACGGGCGTCACAGTGTCAAAATGCTCATCGTGGCAGTACTAGATACTAGTGGCGGCAATAACAATACTGACAGTAGCAAGCTCTCGGCTCACTGCTGACCGGCAGGAAGCAGATATGTAGGTACTGGGAATATAGGGGCCTTAATAATTACCTATACTATTTTGGTGGTTTCTTATTAAGGCCCCTATATTAACAAGCCGAGATATCGGAGTTTCAGGCCGAAGGTTCAGGGATGTTCAGGGCCTCTGTAGCACAGGAAGAGCAAGCTCACGTCGCCGAGGCACAGAAGCAAAGAACCAGGCGAGTGGCGAAAACCTCGTTCCATCGAAGCAACTCCATCACTCATGAAGAGGATTCCGCCGTTAGACATGTCGTGGAGTCTTGCAACTTGAGAAAACCGCTGCATAAGGTGTCTGGTACACTTATCCCCGAAGCCCTCCCTGTACCTTCTCCGTTCTCTTCAACATGCCTGCTCCCGTCAGCGGCCCAGTGGGGAGTTACGGGGAAGTGGGCTTTTTCAGGGCCTAGGTGCTGGGGTTAAGGGATTCTTGGGGTTTTTTGAGAGCACGGAAGACAGCTTCCTGCCAAGATGGGGCACACAAGAATTCGAGTCGTTGTTTCATTCGGCAGAAGACAGGAAAACAGAACAGGGCTGCCGTAATTTTCCCCTCTCGCCTACAGCAGAAGGCATGTGACTGAGATTTGACCAAAATCTCAGGGGCACTGAGCTCTAGGACAACACCGCACACGATCTGTGACCAGACATGCACGCATGTATGTGCTTGTATATATATATATATATATATATATACATACATACCTACCATACCATACCATGCCATTCCGTACATAATCATACACCATACCATACCACACCGTACCATACCATACCATACATAATCACATACATACCATACCATACCATACCATACGTAATCACATACATACATACATACTTACATACATACGTACATACATCCATACCGTACATAATCACATACATACATACGAGTACGTACATACATACGTACATGCATGCATGCATACATCCGTACATACATTATAACAATACATTACATTCACTCATTCAATATTCATTCATTCATTCATTCATTCATTCATTCATTCACTCCTTCGTTCATTCATTCATTCATTCATTCATTCATTCATTCATTCATTCATTCATTCATGGGCACACACACACCAAAAGATAAACACACACGCACACAATCACTCACCCACTCATGCGGATGCATGCAACATCTCCACTCTACAGAAATTGTAACGTATGTAAGCGTGCCACGGTCGTCTTCGTGCTCCGGCTCGACAGTCTCGCAGGCAAGTGAAGATACCAAGGTGGCGAGGACGCTTCCAGACGCCTCGAGGTTCCTGCAGCAACTCATAGAAACCAAGAATAGAGTTTAGGATGTAGGCATCCCAGAGCAGTGCAGATAGAGCAGTGTAGGCGATAGATGCTACTGTGGTTGATGAACCCGCTGCCGCGACCTTGAATC